ATGTATGTCCCACGCCTTCGCAACATCATTCCTATTTGGTAGCAGTCTTCTACACAACATCAAGGTTATGGATGCACTTCACTACACAACTTATTACGCTTATTAACTAAACGTTTAGGTTTTGGATGCTATTACAGCAACTCCACTTGAATTGTAGACACTTCGTATAGGTACCGATTTATTTGTAACGCAAAACACATCAGCCTTCACGATATCATTATCCTAAACGCGGCGACACGTACTATAAGTAGGTTAACGAACTACCTAATTGGTAATTTTGCAACATGCACCGACTGTGGCGACCACGTCGCTCGACTGTGACCGGGGCGCTGAGCGAAAGGCGACTCGAAAACCGAGAGTACGTTGGCACGATTCTTCCGCGAATGGTGCGGTCATAGCGACGAGATAACAAGATCGACAACTATACTGATAACGCATACGATAACAGAGAACAACTGAAATAGTTGTGTATTGCGTTGACATATAGTTGCATCTTATTAATACATTTGAAATTAAAGGTTTTAACAGTACATTAATGCCGAGGCCGGAAATAGGTAATAGAGCAATTGATGGTGATCGAAGAGTTCTTTCGAAGTGACTTTAATAGTCACTTTAATGACTATTAAAAAAGGAAGAGATTCTCGCGAATGTATTTTCTTTTCTGTGTATATGTTTTACGCGATGTCTTCCCAACTGTAAACAAACCAATTCTGATAATCAATTTTACAGTCAATAGGGTTTACTCCGGTAGTGGATCCATATTAATTTGTCTTAATTGATGTTGTATTATACCTGTTTTTCATGCAATCTTAACAAAGGAGAAAATTGTCAATTTGGTTGTATTTTTTATGTTTGTTTATCTCATAAAGCTGTCCGTTATAAACCAATTCGCAAAATATTTTTTTATAAGATTGGTCTCATAGAAATTATTGAACAAAATCTTAATTTATTGTAGAACAACATGTCCAATTATTTTCTTTTTTATTTATTTCCATTAAATCTTTATTTTCATGACATGATAATGAAGTAATTACTTAAATATTGTGACACAAGAATAATGATTCAATGCACAAGATAATTCTGGTGTTATAAGGCTAAAAGAGCAGCATACCATCAAATAGACCATATGTATATATAAATAAACCTGCATTGTATGTCATTATTCTGAATAATCTCTATTGACCTGATTAGATTACAATAATTGATACAAAGGACAAAATTAAGAATAGTACATAGTACTATTCAACCAACAATAAAATTGAAATGAATATAACAAAATCATACAATAAATGCATATAAAATGTATAATACCTCATATAATTAGCCTGCTCTACTAATATGTAACAATTGTCTAATCCACAGACCAAGTAACTACTTGTACAACCAAGGTTGAATTGGCAGTTACTGAGTTATTAAAAATGCAAAACAACGCGCTACGTTCAGTGTTTAGCCATGGAGAGCCATTTTAGTAAATTTTTAACCTTAATCACACTTCGAATCGACGCTGAACACTCAGACCGAGCTGTACAGTCACTAACATAAATATCATGCAAACTAAATCGAATCTACATTATTAATATAAATAGACCACATTATTATGTAACTTACGCCTTGAATACATAATATCATTACTAATATGTTATATATAAACTAGCTGACCCGGCAAACATTGTTTTACCATATACATATTAATTAAAATAATTATTCTATTGATTTGGTACTAATAACAACAATTGACTAAGTTAAGTATGAAAGTAGATGGATCTAAAGGAAGAGGATGACCTAAGAAAAGCTGGACTGTGATAAAAATGATATGCATAAAAGAGGAGTGAGCTCAGGTACGACTGGAATTTGTAGTAGAAAATATACTGCACTGACCCCAAATAAATTTTAAAAAGCAAGGCAATGCTGAACATCCATAGATCAAGTGTAAGTACAACTCACACCCCCTAGGGGTAGGGGGTAGGTTTGCTTATGATCTCATCTCATTGTTATTAAGTAATGAAGTGATAAATATATTAAATATAAATATATTTAATATTTTAAAGATAAAGATTAAATATCTTCATACTTAAAATATTTTAAATATAAAGAAATTTAAAATTATAAATATCCCTTGAATCCTATTATAATATCAATAACTGAAAATTAATAGTTTACTACTTAACCAAATATTAAACTGATTTACAGGTTTTTTGCTTAACTATTATACATTTAACTATCTATGGCATATTCAATATATTATGTACATTATACTTAGAAACTTGTTTGGATGTATTTTCCTGTATACTTAATGTATATATGTTATTGGAGCTTAAATACAAACAATATTATATCTATTTTTTTTTAATATTAAAATTTCCACAAATATTTCTATTTATTACTGAATCATGTTTAAATGTAAAATATAGAAACAGTATTAGAAAAAAAATTAGATCAATTCCTCTCCATATACTAATTGTTTGATTTTGAATGAGCTTAGATCAAGATGTGCTAAACCAATTTTTTTTTATATTGTTCACCTTCATGTACCTCATAAATTAAAGAATATATGAATTTTTCATTTGAACTTTAATATGATGAATTTTTCTAAACAAACTTTTAATAACTACTGTATCCATTTGGTACTCATATTCAGTTGGATGAATCTGTTACATTCAACCATATATATTTGATAGTAATAAATATATGCAAAAATTCTAAATTATAGATTAACATTTTACTGTCCAACACTACTTATTTCATATATGAGTTCTGGCCTGATTGTATGCTCATTTCATATTTTTTATTATTATTGTTTCATAGTATTTAGTAAATTGAATTAATAAATCATTTATCTGTATGTAATAATATTTTTAATAATTAAACTAAGTTCTAAAATAGAACCAATAATAAATTGTTGTAATGACAAAAATTATGCCATATGTTATCAGTACTGGATTTAAGTGTCATATGGGTTATAAATTTTACTTAATCTGTTTTACAATACTACATATGAAAAGGTAAACATAATTAATGAACATAATTTTTCAATGTTTTGTAAATATTTTTATATAATATTTTTAATTGATTTTAGATATATTTAGAATCTTAAGAAAACAGTTAAGATTAAAATAATATATTTAATTGTTTTATGTATATAACTATGTGCATACCCATTATAAAATAGCTACTGATTCAACAAAGAAAACTGATAAAAGCATTATTATTTGTATTTCTTTAAATGACAGCAAGAACAGTGACAGACTAATTCTAACAGTATCTATATTATACAATAACAGAATTCTAATCAACCATAGTACTAAATACAAGACATGTTTCCACAAAGTACATGACATATTGGCATCATTTCAGTGCTTTTGTTCTTTGTTTCTTTATTGTTATTATTAAATATTCAGTCTTTGTGGTTGTATATTTATTTTAAGTTCTATATAATAATAGATTAAAAGTAATTTAAGATCTCTTTGTTCCAATTTTTCTCATAATTGTAATATTTTATTTAAGGCAAGATTTTTAAGCTTACAAGTATGTTATTACACTTCATTTTTATATGAATATTATTATATTTTTAAGAACATAAATTTTGTTTAACGAAAAGCAGAGAAAATATTGGTTGTCTTAAATAGACATGACAAACTCATTAACATTATTATATAAAAAACTAGATAGACAGGGGAAGGGAAGATGAAGACATAAATGTCAATTATTTTCAATAAAAATATGTTGCAGTTGATCTGGACAAACCAGATAATAAGTAACGATAAGATCTGAAATGGAAGATAGTTACTGAGAAAATATTTATTCATCACCAAAGTTAAGTAGAAACTCAGTTGGCATTATCAACATGAGACAATTCTTAACTTTTTCCATTCTTAAGACTGGCCAAAAAGTATAAGGAGTGATAAAAGCTACTTATTATCTTAATAGCAAGAGTTTCACTGAGAAATCAACTTAAATATACAATGAATAAAACTTAAATAATGAACATATTTTAATTGGTTAAATTGTTGGAAATAAAAAAAGGTATTTAAATTCTCAAAAGCTTTAAGTATTCATTTTATTCAAAATTATTGAATAATCTCTAATTTTAATTAGACTAGTTATTATGGAAAACATTGTTTTGCCTCATATATATAAAAAATATTGAGAATAACTTATCTGGATAAAAATTATCCTATCCCTCAAGTCAGAGCAAATAGTACACATTCACAAGATTTTACTAAAATTAATTGAACTGCTTCAGAGGCTTCCATAAATGAAGATGATGACATTTCAGTACTGTTTCCTAATTAGATTATAATAAAATACCTGTGCTTATGTACTGTAACTAAGGGGAATATAATTAATTACTTATATAGTTTAAATGTATTATAATAATAAAGACATCCTTTTATCTATTTCAAGTTGCAATGCAACAGAGAATAAAAACTGTATAGTATCATAACTTGGTCAGTGGGTAGGAATAGGATTTTTTTTTATGATCTAAATATATTGAAAATATTTAATACATAGAAAAAAATTCAAACGGCCTCACTTTTATTACGTCATAATAAAAATAACCTAAAAGCAATACAAAAATCATACTAATCATTTCTCAATACATACCTAAATACCTATGTACTTTATATAGGTAAAATGTATTATGTGATAGGTTAGTTTTCAAGAGAGCTTAGTGTTAAATTTAAGTAATATCATCAATTCAAACGATTTCATCACATCGATATATACGCATTACTTCATAAATGTGATAATTTGACGTGATAGCTGTCACACGGGGAAGCTTATGTGGCAAAATCTAACTACAGCTTGTGGCCATTTTTGAAAAGGTACCGACGAGAAATGCCGCCGATATTGATTAATTTAAGAGTTACTGTAATTTACATGCATAGTAACTGATTTATGGCAGTTTGCAGCCATATTTAAAATTGTCAGTATCGATATACGTCACAGGCTCAAAGAAATCACGATGGCCGACAAAAGAATGGTTAGGTGGTACTTACTGCTAATTTTTACGCCTCCTAAAGGTGGTGGTTTCGGTGGTTGATTATCGAATGTTTTTCGAACGGATTTGCTGCCCTCGGCGAACGACGTGGTCCTAGGGCGTCCGCTCATTATTAAAGGTATAAAATAAACGGCCTTAAAATCCTGAACTTCATAGATACTTCACATTTCTCGTTACTACCACCCTTGCACTCGCACTGAACTCTCTCACTTTACCGATGATCGACAACGTTATAGGTTAAATAGTCAAAACAATATCACTATGATATAGTTAAAATGAAAATACTACAGTCCAATTACGCTTTTACAATACCATTTTGTTAAATTTTCAAAATTTACATCACTAAAGTGAACGACAGATTTTTAGTTTCTTCGCCTTCTTTCTCAACTTGTACTCGCTCGCTCATTCGGCAAATTCCGCCAATAGTCGGACCTTCGATCACATCTACGAAGATGACGCCACATGAACGCCAGACAGAGTCCTCTAGTTTTATTTGGATTAACTATGTTTTATCGGTAAAGTAGCAGGATTTTTGGTCTTTGTCAATGATTTCATAATTTTTTTTAATGGCAACTCGTCTATTCTTGTTTTTCATGTTAGATACTGGCCTCAATCTATGTATTATGTAGAAAGAGAGAGAAAGTTTATTCTCAGTCTTTGGTTTAGCCCTATGTGAAGCCTAATTCGAAACTTGAGAGCATAAAAACTTTAGCTTAGTATTTAGTAATTCATTAGTAGTAAATTATTAAATTATTGATGCCCATTGATTCCTTTCTTTTTACTTTGTTTACTCATAGAAAATGAATAAACAAAGTAAATATGTAAAATCTTATCAGAGAAATCAATTCAGGGTACGATAGCGCTGATATACCTGAAGAAGGTAAAAACCCTTAAGTTTTAAAAAAAGAAACTTTAGCTTTTGCTCAAGCTTGACGAAATGCGGTAACGTCGCAATTTAGCGTCGCATTTGTCTGTCGATTTCCAAAAACAATTGAAAATTTTTCATTGATTGATTATTTAAAAATTGCTCTGATAGCGAACTAAAACGTTAATCATGCAATAACATATTTGTTAGGCTGCCACCAAAAATTTAAATTTAAATGGCAAAACGTATTTGAAAAGTTCCAAAGCAAAATATGAAGTAAGTGCAAGGTTTTTAGTAGTAGGTAGTTATATGTAACGTATTCTATTGTTAACGTTTTAAATCACTATCTGATCATAGATATATACATATCTGTCGCGCCTCTCTGATCACTTTCCAAATAATCTATTTGAGGCACGGAAAGTTATGAGATTGTTTTGGCAAATTGACTGATAACTATGATATTACCACACTTCATCAGGCAAAAATTATGAACGCTTTTAATTTCTGCCAAAGGTTTTTAGATTTCTGCGTATAAACTAACCGTCAAGTAGTAAATTGCATGTTAAGTGATTAAGTTGTGAAATATTAGGTCCTTACATATCAAATTTGCGTTTTGTCGTACTAACCAATTTGATCTGAAATATCTCCTCTCTGGTTAATAATTCTAAATTCAAATTTATAAATTCATTTAGCTGGTACATTTGAGTTTTGAAAATAGAAATTCATTTGTTTTTTATCATTATTTTTTTCCTTGACATCACTTAATACTGCACAATAGAAAACATGAAATATCGGTATATTTACGAATATGAGTTCTACCGTGGCACCAGTGCTGCTGTGAAAGGTTCGTTGGATAAAACAATAAAAATATAAGATACTGAATACATATGTTGTGGTTTTATTTAAGTTATTTTTAAAAATAACAGCTGCAGAAACAGCTTGAATGATTAATATTGTGTACTGCGTTAGTGTTGCAAAAGAAAGCACGGTACGTTTTTGATTTCAATGTTTTCGTTCTGGAAATTCCGACCTTCAAAACCAACCCCGTGGACGGCCGGAGTCCAAAGTGGAAAATGAAGAATAAAAGGCTATTGTGGAAGCGGATCCATCACAAATCACTTCAAATATAGCTGTAGGCTTCGGGGTAAGTGATAAAACTGTATTAATCCACTTGAAGCAAATAGGGAAAGTAAAAAAACTTGAACAATGGGTTCCTCATGAATTGAATGAATCGAACTTGCAAACACGCGTCGACTGCTGCTTAACCGACACTATAATTTTTTGAGAAGGGATTTTAAATCAAATCATTACTTGTGATGAAAAGTGGATACTGTACGATAATCGGAAGCGCTCGTCGCAATGGCTGAACCCTGGAGACCCAGCCAAATCTTGTCCTAAACGAAAATTAACTCGGAAAAAGTTACTTGTGAGTGTATGGTGGACTAGCGCCGTTGTCGTTTACTACAGCTTTCTAAAATCCGGCCAAAAGATTACGGCAGATACCTATTTTCAGCAACTGCAAACCATGTAGGAAGCACTAACTGATAAACAACCGAGATTGGTCAATCGCTCTAGGCCACTGCTGCTTCACGACAACGCAAGACCACACACTGCATAAGAAACAAACACTAAGTTAAATGAGCTATAATTGGAATGTCTGCGAATCCATCGTACTCCCCGGACCTTGCTCCAACAGATTACCATTTTTTCCGGAATTTGGACAACTTTTTACAAGGGAAAAATTCAACTCCGATGCGGCAATCCAAACCGCCTTCAAATAATTTATTAGTTCTAGCCACATGGTTTTTTTAGTAAAGGGATTAATGAATTACCTATGAGAGGGCAAAAGTGCATAGATAACAACGGTGCATACTTTGATTAAATAAATATATTTTACAAAAAAAAAAAAATTATATTCCTTCCGTACAAAACGCCAATTTCATATGTAAAGACCAAATAATTACAATGGAATTTTTTAGCTGACTCAGCGAACTTCGTTCCGCCTAACTGCGCGCGGTACTGGACAGTACTTGGACATTGCAACATTACTTTATTTTTCTAAAATAAAAGATTTTTTCTGAAATAGACGTAGCCTAAGTTACTCCTTATTACATCAGTTACCTGCCAATTAAAGCTCCGTCAAAATCGGTCCAGCCATTTTAGAGACTAGCCGGAACAAATAGACAGACAGACGAAAACTGTAAAAAATGTTATTTTGGTGTATGTACTGTAGATACATTCATACATAAGTATATATATTCATACACATGTAATAAAAAACGGTTATTTTAATATTACAAATAGACTCCAATTTTATTTATAGGTGTAGATGTAGATTTAGTAACCACTTTGCTTGAACCCCATATTGTACATGTTGGTTATGATCAATTAAGTAGTTATGCTGCAATCGCAATACTAGTTACAATTTCTCGCTTAAAACTTATACAATGTAACAAAATTAAATTGACATCATCATGAGAGTCAAACCAATCTTTTAAAAAAAGAATTATCAACATCAGTTTAATATGGCGAATATATCGTGTAACCAAATTCACGTAACGAACACACAAAAAAATTTTTAAAACGCGTAAACAGTAAAGTAAAAGGTGATAAGAAAAATGTAGACAAACAGGATAAAATAATATGCTATGAGAACATTAAACTAATATTTAAGAATAAGACAGACTTAATGTTCTAATCGTAACCATGGATCAATTCAAGGAATGATACATGAGTATACAATAGATACAAGTGGCTTCCACTTGTTTTCAGTAAGTCCTTTTTTTTTGAGATCATTAAACCATCTCGCGGGGTACCTTTCCGATATTTGGTTTGCCTGCACGATGTCACCTTTTTTCTCCATCGAGTAGTGGTTGCTCGAGATATATGATATATAGCTCCTTCATTATCATTTCAGCTTGGCAAATTCACCGGATTATTTCAGTCAATTCTTCTGAAGATATCCACGGTTCAGATTGTAAGCACCTATCACGCAATATACGGATAGCAATGTGTGACCACGTTTTAGTTCTATATTAGGCCACTGATATCATAAGCTTATTCTACTGCTAGCTAACCCGAAGCTATTCTCCAGTGTCATGCTCAAATTCCATTTATTTTTTTGTATCCTAAAAACCTTAATCAGACTATTATAGATATTAAAAATAATTAGACAAATATGATACGAATAGTACATATCTAGAATGTGAAACTGTGTGCGAAACAGTTCGTGTCGCGGGGTATCATGCTGATAAATAAATGTACCTACTGTCTGCTCGTTATCTAGAATTTTGACGTATCTACATGGCACATGCAAAATACCTAGTACGTTGTTTTATCGAACTCATTGTTTCAATTTCCTGTCTATCTTAATGTACAAGTAGTTAAATAGTGATTTATAACAGAACTTTTAGTTTTTTTTTTATCATACTTAGAACGGCAAACAAGCTAATCGCCTATTTGGTAAAAGTGAAAAATCTTCGTCTATAGACATAACACCATGCATATCACAGAATAATATGTATTTAAATATATATTTTTTAAGTATTATTTGTGTCCCGCGGCTTTGCTCGTATGAATCAATACATAAATTATCCTATATGCTAAGTTAGGACATAACCTACACATGTGCCAAATTTCATTCAAATCCGTTCAGTAGTTTTTTGCCACCCATCTATCCATCCATCCTTATAAACTTGCGCATTTATAATATTACTAGCAATAATAGCAATATAAGAAATATTGTTTACATATACATGGCTAAAACATGTATATTTTATACTAATAATATGTATATGAAAGCTGTACAAAACTCATTAGTTTCTTTGTCCCTCTCGTGTTTCTGTTTTAAAAATAAATAGTTTCTATCGAAGCTGTATAAGAAGGTAGGTAAGCAGATACTTGCATGATTGTGTATCGTTTTGAAGTGTATTATATATGATTGACGATCGGTATACTATAAAAGGTTACCAGTGAGGGGTAATAGGTGACTCAGGTGAAAGCAAGTCAGTTGGCACATCGTGTAAAATTCATCAAGATTTAACTACCAATCTTCCCAGGGAGACCACATGGAAGTCAACCTGACAAGGGTATATTGTCAATAATAGGGCCACCCATAAACTGAGTATATAATCTAAGAAGCCACCGGTCCCCGTTACTAACAAGCCTTTCCATTTTTACATTTTCATTAGAATATTTCTTTCAAAAGAAATACAACCAGGCAAACCAGGGGGAAAGGGATTGTTAGTAATGCGGACTACAAATCCTATTGCTAGCAATATACCCTATCAGGTCGACCTCCACGTGATCTCCCTGGAAACCATTATGCTGAATTCCAGATGCAGTATTCATCACGATAGGCTAACTGACTTGCCTTTTCATTCTCACCTATCATCCTTTACTGGTGCCCCGCCGGCGTATACCGTTACCGCAGGCGGGGCTACCATTCTATCATCATACATTGACAAAAAAGCCATGCGTATCAACGTAGTAGCTTGGTGGCAAAAATATAAGCTAGATTGACGTACTTATCCATGCAGACAAAATTTTTACCTACAATGTTACTTTTTGGTCACTCCTAGTGTTACATTGCAAAAAGCTTCACCTGTATTATTTCATCACATACATATAAGAACACTGAAAACATTATACTTCTTTTTTGGACAGTCATGTAAAAAAACAAGCTATTAGCTCGTTTGGAGAAGTTATTTTTTATACAACTTAGAATGGCAAACAAGCTGACGGTCCACCTGATAACAAGTGATAACCGTCGCCTATAGACATGAGCAGTACCATGGACATAACAGATTATACTGTTTCGCCCATGATACCTCCCATGCGTTGCCATTCCTGAGAACTCAGGTGTTATTCTTCTGTACTCTGTGAATTCATTGCCATATCCCACCCTTCAAACCGAAACACAACCATGCAAACACAACGACTTTTATAAAGTCTTCCTCTGGTAAGAGAAATATGAGGCCTTGCTCCTTTGGTTTGATATTCATCTTTAGTAATCGTATAATCTACGATATTTATGGGTATTTTCTCTACCTGTACCCTACTTGCTATCCCCAGGAACTTTATCCTTACTTACCTTTCATCATAAAACCTAAATACCTATCTTTCGCTATCTCTCTCAGATTATAGAACGAGAGCCTCTTTACCAATTTTAGTTTTTCTTTTCTAAAACTGCAATATGGTGCAACGTGCACATAACAATACTGGTGTTAAAGGTGTCCTTTGAAGTAACTATGCCAATCGCTTATTATTATGCTAAATATGCTTTTACTTTAAACACTTATACTTTGTGAATGTTATAATTTCAGGTTTTATAAATCGCCTATGATACCAAATGTCGTATAAGTTCGCTACTCCTACTACTAGTACCCCTTTTTGTAACCCACTAAACACCTAAATTTGTATTTTTACGATCAATCTTTAAAAATCGTCATTCCAAAGTAGATTATTTGCGGATAATCTTAAATTGTATAATCTTTTAATTCACCATGCGTAAGTAAGCAACTCGTCCCATCGGCGCGTGTCCCCATTAAAATTATTTATATTGACGACAAATTCATGCGACCCTATATAAATGAACTTATCATCAAAGCAAGATGGCATGCGACGACAACTGCGCGTCGAGTTCAGTGCAAAGGAGGAGGGACACAAAGAGTTACAGTAATTATAGATAGAGGGAGGGAGAGCAAGCAGTTGCGCGTGCGCCGGTTTTGAGCGCGATCGTGTCAGCCGCGGTTAAGTTAAATATTGATAATGTAAATTTAAGAGCTAATACTTTGTTAAGAGGTCATAGTAATCTGAATACTGGTATCAAAATGGAGTGCTACACGTCGGACAGCTGCGATAGCGACAGCAGAGAACAAAAAACCCTCGATTTATCGTGCAAGTTAATGGATTCAATCAATCTATCATCGGAATTGAAAGGAATTGTTGACGAGAAGAATTGCGCGGAAAATTACGAGATATTACTGCTCTATAATAACCGAATTAAGGCACTACCGGACACAATAAACAAATTTTGCAATTTAAAAATACTGGATATTAGCAACAACAGATTGACAGTTTTTCCAGATGTCTTCAAAAGTTGTCCACTCACGTCCTTAATAGCAAAAAACAATCAATTAACAAACGAATCGTTCCCTAAATGTTTTAATTTAACAAAATGTACACTAAAGGAGCTCAACCTTAGTGGAAACCACATTAACTTTTTTCCAGAACAAATTATGGAGTTAACATCCCTTAAATATTTATATTTAGGTGGCAATAATATAGTGAATATTTCAAAAGATATATGGAAATTAACCAGGTACGTAATTTCAATTAAAGTTAATATATTTTGTTGATAATTTATTGTGAAATAAAGAAAAAAATATTAACAATATATGATAATGTACAACTATCTCAGTAAAATTGAATGTTGATAGACATAAAATAGATTTTTTATTAGAGAGCGATATGGCCTTGTAGATAAAAGTACCGACAAGCCTCAGCGTCAGAGTTCAAATCTGGCTAACATGTTAAATTCAAACACTCTCAGAAATTCTGTACATGTTGAAATACTCATATATATGTGTATTTTGCCAAGCGTGGTAACTATTGATAAAATCCTCCAAGGGGGAGACTTATATTCAGCGGTGGACCGTTAAGGACTCATATAATGATGATGATGTGTATTTTATAGTACTATAACTACAGAAGGTAACACATTTTTTTTTTCAACACTTATAAGCACTCCGCTTATACTGGTGGTATACTACTTGTATATAAAGGACTATTTCGAAGTAACTATTTGACTCCATGCTCATCACCGAATAATTTACCCTTATACTGTAAATCATCGCGTTTGATGCAGTTTTTTTAGAGATGAAAATACAACTCCATAATACAAAGGTAACCTCGCTTGCGCTATCGGTATACGCTGGCGGGACACCCCTGAGAGATGACAGATGCGGGTGTAAGTAGGTCAGCTTTTTTTTAATGGATGGAAATGGAATTTTCACCCCTCCTGCGCTATCGGGATACGCTGGCGCGGCACTAGTAAGGGATGATAGGTGAGAATGAAGCAGGTCAGTTGGCCAATCGTAATAAATTTATCAAAAATTAACCACGATGGTTTTCAGGGCGAACCGCGTGGAGGTCGACCTGTTTGAGGTATATTGCTAGTTATGGGTCTGTTGAATTTCACTACTAACAACCCCTGTCCCTCCTAAGCAGGTCAGTTAGCCCACCCAACGAATTCAACTAGAATTAACTACAATGGTTTCCAGGAGCAACCGCGTGGCGGACGACCAGATAGGGTATATTGCTAGTAATAGGGTTATTTCACTCCATTACTGACAATCCCTTTCTATCCCAATCAAGGAAAAATTTGTTTGTAATGGATAAACTTAAAAATTACTAAACCGATGTTAAAAATTCTTTCACATATAGAAAGCTACATTATCAACAAGTAACAAAAGGATATATACTCGTATTCTTTAAGTACATTATATCTACCCCAGCGAAGGCGAGTCGGATTGTAAGTTTGCTATATTTGTACTATAAAACATTACAATGGCAACAATTAGCACATTGTCTAGGTATATTATACTAGTTACGATATATATTTATTTTCAACGAATTTAAACGTTATTATCATTGATTGTCCAAGTCTAGTACTAGCGATATGTTGCACATTTATCTTACAATCATTGAAGCATAATTTGGAAATTGACACGGAAATTTGTCTTCTTTTGTATAAAAGTTGAAATCGTGACCTTTGGAATCGGGATACGTTCATAACACAAATGTACTAATCTTTAACCGCCTACAATCTAATAATTTTATAAAAAAAAAAACAGTTATTTTAATTTAATAACTGAAGTATTGAATTGATTTTGATAAAATTTCTATGGGACAAATCTAAAAGTATAAAAATTTAGATAAAGAAAAATTTTAGATAAAGAAAAAATCCGAATCGATCTAGGCGTCTTGGAGTCATCAGAGAACATATATAAAAAATTATAGAGTCCGATAAATTGTGAACTTCTCCTTTAAAAAAAACCGTTTGCAATCAAGGCAGGTTGCTAGTTCTTCACAAAAAAAAAATGTTTCATATCGGGATTCGTGACATCACAGTCGATTTAAAACTTTTTTAAAACATGGCAAACTACTCTATTGATAGATATATTACTACCCTATATAACGTCCAACACCTTAATCCATTATTCATAAAAACTAAAACCTTCTACAAACCTATTTTAACTATTAGGTACACTGTTTTGTCACTTTCTTTCAAATTAGGAATTTAGTACCAAAGAAAAAGACAAAACAGTATGGTATCTGTTCTAGTCGATCAAAAAATCGCTCTCACACTGTCGATAGCTGACTAGGTATCGTCATCAAGGCAAATTTACCAGGGTGTACCTAGATTTTTAATGGGTAAAAATGAAATAAAATCCGCTTCTGTTACTAGTATATACTGGCAGTTCGCTAGTGAAGGATAATAAGTGAAGATAAAAACAAGCCAATCGTAACGAATTTGACAAGAATAAACCACGATGGCTTCCAGGAGGAACCGCGTGGAGATCAACCTGACAGAGTGTATTGCTAGTAATGGGGTTGTTAGATCCCATTACTAACAATCCTTTTTCCCCCGAGTGTACCTAGTTATCAATACTTTCTTATAGTTTGGTATTTACGATCATTTCGGACAGAATACGCGAACCACGTACAAAACAGTGACGCTTGGGCGTATATGTATTTATAATTAATTTATAACATATATTTACACATTGTAAATGTTTAAAGTACGTTGACACAGTCACATATAAACATCTTTATTCTCTCTCCGTAGAGTTTAATGTTTACAATGACAAAGCTCTTCTTAAATACAGATAGCTGATTGGTAAGAAGGTATCTCTAAATGATCTATGACTCGCAGTTGTAGAAAAAAAATATTATCACAGGTACCTAAAACATATTTATTTATTTATTTAAGGAAAACCAACAAAGCATACGTTTATATCTACTTAAAATACACGATAACTTGGTTACATTATAAAATGCTGCTAAAATAAACTAACTAAAAAAAAAACTAAAATGCTTTAATTAATAATGACCGCCACTACACGCGTATTCATATTATATATAACTAAAAGAATGAAAAATGATAAAAACTACAGTACTAGGTATACAATAAACTACAGTACTATACTAGATTTGTACACTTATAATGTGCATATGTGCGATGATACATGCCATGCTGTTGTTAAGCCGAATAAACATAACTATAGAAATTATACAATATGAATTTGAATTTGTTAAAGGTCGTGTAATACAAATATTAATTTTAGGCAATCGTGACAATTGACTGTACTGTAATTGCATTTTGTTAATAGCTGAGAAATGGCCCAGATTTGTACTAAAATGCTTTATATTGAATAGAAGATATCTACTCGGCCTAAGATATTAAAATTTACCAGACTCGGTATATCGTAACTTAATACATAAGGTAGTTTATATACTTATTCATGGAACAAATTCGCGGGATACTGTTAGTATCACCATATCTTTTAAAGATTAGACAAGAAGAGCACTCCTCAGAGTGTAATGATTGACACTGTTCGATGTAGATTTTTTTATCTAATCATCATTATTTAAAGTGGATAGATTACATGTTCACTATAGGCGGTCTCATTCGAAAATACACTTTAGTTATTTGAGGAGTTAAATAATTTAACTGTACTTCGAATTATATGATAATTCGGTTACACCATACGAATTTTTTTCGCACCATTACTAATTTTCTACTTATATTGCAAACTGCAATAAGAATATATTCTAATGATACAGCAAAAATAAAAAAATATAATGCTGTCTAATAGCTAAGTAATACCTACAAATCCGGTATTAGCATAACTGGCTCACCTGAGAGAATCAAATTATGGTTATTCTAAATTTACCGTGTGGTCTCGGCGTAGAATGGGTCATCTCTTCCTTTCCCATTGGTGTCGTAAGAAGTGACTAATTAAATTCAATAGTCGAGGGATGGGCAGCAATAGCCCTCTTAAAACATCACCAAAAGCCTAAGTACAGTTTCCAAGAGTGGTAACTACAAGTAAAATAATGGAGGAGGCCTATATTTAACAGTGGACAGTTAACGGCTGGTGACATAAATAATTAATTATAATAGTAGTAGTATTTATCTTTTACTGTTTATATTTGTAATGTTATGTATTTCTCATCTCATAGTTTACAGATCCTGTCAATAGGAGGCAACCAAATTTCGGAAGTGCCCGAGTCCGTCGGTCGGCTGACTACTCTTCAAGCCTTAGTTTTGAGCGATAATCAAATAGAACAATTGCCAGCCAGCATCGCGAACCTAAAACAACTTCGGTCTTTATTAATACATAAAAATAAATTGAAAACATTGCCTACGCAAATTATAAAATTGACATGTTTAACAGAGGTAAGGACAACAATTTTTCTTTTTTTATTATTAAGAGTTTTTACCTTGTTCAGATATATCAGCCCAATTGTATCCTGAATTGATTTCTCAAATAAAAATTTATCTACATTGCCTACTCACAGAAAGAATGGAATTAATAAGCATCAATAATTTACAGAGATGTTAAAAAATGTCTGATTTGGGTTCAGCTAATATAAATTAATAGAATACCTATATATAATTTATTTAAGTGAAAATGACGCATAAACCCAAGCAGCATAACAGGTGTATTGTGTACACTCGTACAATACAAAACCTATGTATAAGTAATTAGGCTGAATTTGGTATAAAATAAACAATGTTACTAAGACTGCTTTAATGTCGGAGAATTGACCGCTCAAATCCAACATTTAGTTTGTAAAAATATCGGGAATCTTCTACGTTTTTCGGCTAACTATGACTCTACATGCACAATGGCCCAAAAATGCTAATTTCAGACAAAATTGGGCAAAAACGGCCCACGTAACATAAACAGCTAGCAGAAGTCATAATTGATTCTGATATCGATGCCCACAGCTGTACTCACCCTTAAGCTTCTGTCGAGGTTTTCCTAAGAGACATATAGAGAGTATAGTTCCAAAGGATTGACAAAGGTCATGCAATATTCCTGATATTGTAGTCATTACATTAACCATTATTGTGGGACTGACCGTTTCCGTATATGCAACTTCTGTAATTAACTTGACAAATGTACGACTATAGGGGGGAAAGAAATTGTTGGTAATGGGACTTTATATATTTTATATATACCATTGCTAGCAATACGCATTTAGGTCGACATCCATACGGTTCCCACTGGTATATTATTGTGGAATTCATCACGATGGGCTTAATGACCTGCATACATCCTCATCTGTCATCTCTTACTGATGTCTCGCCAGCGTATACCGATAGCGCAAGCGAGATTACCATTCCATGCTCATCTATTAAAAAAATATAAGACTATATATATATATATATATATATATATATATATATATATATATATATATATATATATATATATATATATATATATATATAATATATAAAGCGATTTTAATTATTTTTCGAATCGATAAGTACTGTTGGATAAAATGGGGCATGATAGAATATACTTAATAACTTTATACAAGCAGGATTTTGTTCCTCAAGAAAATACCAACGAGTATTAACCTTTCGAGTTAGATAAACATTATTTTATTTGTTACGTATATCATGACTTTTGACGCACTTACAATATGTATGACATTATGTAATTTCACATATTATGCAATAGGCCCGCAAGGACATTACCACGGAATACTTAATAGGGTACTATTGAAATTGAGTAATAGTATAAAAATAAGAATAGACATACATAGGTAGTCGTACCTACTTGAAATTCCACTCATTTTGTCTTCAATATGCAACGGCCGTGTGTTCAAATTTAATAGACATCAACAACTTTTTTGTCATGTCATTTTTTATGTTCTCCACAACGGCAACAGTAATCAAATTCCTCTAACTACACCTCTAGTCACTCTCTACCGAGAGTATATTTGTTTATACTTCATTGAATCTAGTTAAGAACGTAGCACCTTAGTTACCATTAAAAATAATGTATTATTTAAGGTAAGTAAGTATCTACTCATCTTTGTTTCTTCTATTTGGGTGAAAACCACCATTTATGTGTTTGAAATATGTAATTATCTGTACCTGTAAATACAGTAAACAACAAAATTCAGTATATTTGGATGTATCAAATGATTTTTGATGCTGATTTTTAACTCTTTAAGTTGTTGCATACATTCAGTAATTTTTTATCTTTTATAATGTGTACTACATTTTGACACAAATTTTGTTAAAAAAAATTATATGCGAGTATACAGCGGTGTTGAAAAGTTTTGAAAATGAAATCTGAAGAAGATCTGTCTATTAATTGTGTTAACTGTAAATCTTATTAGTCTATTTTAATTTGGTCATAAAATTAAAAGTAATCTCTAATTTAGTTGTTGTAGTTCATTGAGAATGCCCTCGACCTTATTCCCTCACTCAGCTCTCCCACATAGATGATAACATTTCTCAACCAATGTTAGTTAATTAAATTCAAACACAAATATTATATGTACTGGCTGATATAACAATTAATTATAATTGTGTCCTACAAAATATTACTAGATTTTCAAAAAATCCTTTTTGGCCTAAAAGACCAAAGATGTATTTAGAGTAAATAAGGCAACGATAAAAATTTAGTACTACCATACCAACTATTAAAAAGGGTGGCACTGAGCAAAAATAGTATATTTTTGCTTATAGCGGCAAAATTACTTTATTGCAGATTGTTACATACAGACCTTGATCGTTGACATTATTACTTAGATATCAGAATCAAAGATATTGTGTCCTTATTTTTAGGTTGATACAAATAGTATCAGACTACGGTTGCGCTTTCTTGAATAAGCCTTATGTTGGATTTATTGTATGGGAGAAAAGTAATCCCGTATAGAATTGGTCACCCCTGCCTTTCCCATTAGTATTGTAAGAAGCGACTAAGGAAACTTAATGGTCGAAGGATGGCCAGCAGCGTCCCTTTTTAAATATCACCAAAGTCTATACGCGGTAGTCAATTCGCTTGCCAATCGTAGCAACTACTGGCAAAACGCCCAGTAGCGGGACGCCTATGTTCAACAGTGGACAATTAACGTCTGATATGATGATGATCATAATAAGTAGGCTTGTGCTAACTGACATAAAACCTTACGTGAATAAATTTTTTTTTCAGCTAAGTCTCCGCGACAATCCTCTCGTAGTGAGATTCGTCCGAGACATGACATTGCAACCACCGTCACTACTAGAACTGGCTGGGCGCACTATAAAATTGCACGAGATACCTGTCCACGCTGGTGATGTCCCAGACACATTGATCCAATATCTCCGTGCAGCACAGTGCTGTGTAAATCCCAAATGTAAAGGTATGTACGTGAATGTATTAGATATTTGTTTACTATCTACTTTTGTGTTTAGAATTTAAGATCCTTCTACTTACTTCAGCAGGTATAATGCTTTTTAATGAAACTTGGTTTAAATGCAAAATTAGCGAAAATATAATACAAAGCATCCGGGTACCTACCAAGTCAGTCGCGATGTGCAGAAGTCACCATTGAGATTTTAAACTACTGCGACTGAGGGAAAAAGGATTATTAGTGATAATGTTTAATAACCTCGTTGTTCGTAATATACCCTATCAGGTATCTACCTGATGGAGATCGCTCCATGCGGTTTCACCTGGAAACATTCATGTCAAATTCGTGTTGAATTCGTTACGACGACCCAACTGACCTACTTCATCCTCATCTACGAATATCATCTCTCATTGGTACCTCTTCAGTGTATAGCGATAGCCCAAATGAAATTATCATTCCAATTTCGCTCATTAGGTTTGAATTTAATTAGCATGTTTTTTACAGGGGTCTTCTTCGATAACCGAGTGGAACACATAAAGTTCGTGGATTTTTGTGGAAAATATCGTATACCCCTACTACAATACTTATGCAGTTCCAAATGCATTACTGGTAGATGGGAGAGTCGAGAAATGGACAATAATCTGCATCCACATATGATGAGAAAAGTTTTACTTGGATAATACACCTAATTATACGGAATTTAAAATTCAATTTATTTTGTACATTTAAATGTATATTAATATATTTTTACATCAGACACTTATTCGCATTTAATGTGTTTAATATGACATAATGTTGCCAATAATTTTTTAGATAGGTAAAATAAAAAAAAAAAATTATGTTATAAATAATTTAAAGATCCAAGATGCTCAATTTATTCTATATAATACCATATAGTTAAATGATTAATGAATTGGTAATAAATATTGTGATGATGTATTGTTTTTAGACTGTAATTACCCACAACACGGTTTTAGTAATTCAATGGTAATCTTCGTCCCGTCTTCCCCAAATATCAATTTGGTTCTAAACATCACCTGAAGTGACAACGTCAGTACACAATGCGTGGAGGTCAGAACTATGGTGACGGATAACACTTGTAACAATTCTAAGTAGGTACCTAATCCGAGTAACGGCGCTAAAAGGTCACCCCCTGCCACATTGTATTTGAAAATTCGAAAAATGTTCGACGATTTCATTAGATATCGTAATCTAATAAATTGTAGATAGTAGATCGTCATATTCCTTATCCTAATTATTATTTGGAGTTGGCGTAATATGTTTTCTTTTTCCTTCTTCCATTATTTGTAAGATTAGACATCTATATAATTCAGGAATCAAAATGTATGTCAAACCCTTATAGTTTAAAACCAGATCTCCAAAATCTTTGATTTTGTGTTGTTTTATGCAAAAAATGTGAAAGGCCTCTTAATATAGAAATTATCTGACTCCAACTTAAATATCAATAAATATGTCGAACGCTATGTCAATCACTAAGCTCGAGAAAGGGGAAGTGTTAGTAATGCGTTCTAATAGTTCCATTGTTAGCAATATACTAATATATGAAATAGTAACCCCGTCTGCGTTAACGATATACGCCGGCGGGTCACCAGTGAGGGACGATAGGTGAGAATAAAAGGTGGGTCAGTAGTTCATCGTGATGGAATGTAGCACGATGGTTTCCAAGGAGGACCACGTGGAGATCGACTGCTAGCAATGGGACTGGTAGTTTGCATTCCTAAAAATCCCTTCTCCATACATTTGCTTCTCTATTGTATCCTGACGGTAAACTTAAATTGTACAATATCGAGAAAATCATAAAAACGCCCATAGGATAAAGATGAGATAGAAACTTTTATTCTTATAAAAAAATAAACCTCACAGGTGGCAAAATTGCATTTGATGAATCAAATAGAACATTTTCTACTATTTACTATCTACTTATTTACTCTTTCACGTAAAATCTACTAAACAGATTTGAATTTTTGGTAAACTGGGACAAGTTATGTTTTAACATACTTTATATCTTTATATTACTGATTCATGTAGGCGAAACGTGGTATATAGCTAATTATTATATAATATTATAAATGTGAAAGTGAATTCGTCTGTTACATGTTAGCACCTTAATGGCTTAATCAATTGTTATGATAAGTATATGGAGAGTGTTTGGGATGGAGGACATAGACTAGTTTTTTATCCCAGACAACCAAAACATATGGTGGTATCATAGGCGAAGCAGTATACTCTGTTATGTCCATAATACTGCTCATGTCTGTAGGTGACGGTTACCACTTTCCATCAAGTGGGCCTTCAGCTTGTTTGTCATTCTAAGTTGTATAAAAAAAGTAATCGCCGCACATGATTCAAATTCGGATTTTTTATTTAAATTAAACAGTTACATTGCATATTTACTTGTGTATACTTACTTCAAGCTATGTAATTTGAAGTATACACAACTGAAACATGTATTTCACCAAAATATTGGTATGCAAAATTTATTAATGTACAAGACGAAGTCTCGATTAATTACAAATATATAACATTTATATTATCAGCATTGGCCTGTATTATATTCTATTTATTAAATATAGGTATTTATTAAAAGCTAAGAGATTGAAACATTGCCTTAGTAATGGCGGCTGTCAATAGCCGAATAGAGCCTTTTTAAGATTATTTAAAAACATCTGTGTGTGTTAGTGAACACCAAACAATTCTGGGGATAGGGCGTTTCCAGCCAGCCTATAGACGGCTTCTTAACACTTTTTGTTATCAACTAATTACTAACGAAAAGCATAAATAATAGTTTAATAAACAACTGGAGTAAGTTCACTCACCCTGCCGTTAATGACATCAGTCAGAAAATCACAAATCAGAGCTTGCAAAAGAGTGGGCAGCGACTTTCTCCAAAACGGACCTTTTTTTTCTTTTCTGGAAACTTCATGAAAAACTATCATATGTTTTTCGCATCTGTACACATTTTTTTCAACTATGGCACTGGGACAAAAATACTAATCTTATGACATCAACTTATAAAGTTTTTAAAGCCCTGAAGCCTTTGTGTTAACAATTGTTCATATGAGACATAGGATTAGAAATTGTAATAATTCTCTTATTTAAATTTGCTACATGCTTTTATCATAACAAAAGTATGTAGCAAATGTGTGGTGGCTGTTATGACACTAAATCCAAGAAAAGGTTAATATTTATTTATGAAAATAAAAGAATAATGTAATTACAATTATACATACTTATATTCATTTAACTACTACTTTTACATTACTACATTTCAATTGTCATTCTCTTGTAAAAACCTCATTCTCTCTTCTTTACCCCTTTTTATAGCTTGTTTAAATAATTCACAATATAATTGTATAGCACTTGGTGTATCATCATTTCCTGGTATTGGATATGTGATTAAATTAGGGTTGCAATTGGAGTCCACGATGCCAATTGTTGGTATTAACATTTTTGCACTATCTCTAACAGCAGTGTGCTGATTTAATATATTATTCTGTGTGTTTAAAAATATACACAAATCTGGCAATCGTGTCACAGCACCAAACTGATGGTTAGCATTTGTAAAAATACCACCTCGCCAAAACCTTGTATGGGCATACTCTCCACATTCTTTTGCAGTGTTTTCAACTAAGTGTGCATTTAAAGCATTCCTATTGAAAAAGCAAATAATACCACCTCTGTATGCAATATGTGCAGTGACATTCAGAGCTTTACGTAAATGTTCAGCTGTGATATCCAAATCGAATATTAAATGGCCAAGCCTCGAACCATAGAGATATGGTCTCATATAATCATTGAGTGAACCTTCCTTGTGACCAAAATGGACTCGAGCATCAAATAAATCCTTCACGGTAAATAGGTCATGGACTTTGAAGTAATCAGGATAATCAAGTGGACTCTTCTTTTTTTCTACAGCATCTAAACAAATAAGAAAAATAACTTTTATGTGTTAGCCTATTATTTAAAATAATTTATATCTTTTATTTAATGGGTGATAATGGTATAGTAACCCCACCTGCGCTATCGGTATACACTGGCAGGGCACCAGTGAGAGATGACAGATGTGAATGAAAACAGGTTAGTTAGCTCATCTTGATGAATTTAACTAGAATTAAACACGATGGTTTCCAGGAGAAACCATGTGGAGGTCGAACCTGATAGGGTATATATCCCCTATAATTTATATCAAAGTAATCATCAATAAAATATATATAAATAAAACTTTATTACTATAATAAAATTGTAACTAGACATTGTTGAGAGGAGAGGAAGGGACTGTTAGTAATGTGGACTACTAGTTCCATTGTTAACTATTGCTAGCAACCCTGTCAGGTCGACCTCCACATGGTCACCTCCACATCCTCCCATGGAAACCATCATGCTGTATTTCAGATGTATTTATCATAATGGGATAACTGATCTGCCTTTTTATTTGCAACTATCACTAATGCCCCACTAGAATATACCATTAGTGCAGGCAGGGCTACCATTCCATTACCACCCAAAAAAAAAAAAAACTAGAAAATGTACATGGGAGATATTTGAAACAAAATCATTTATATTTTAATAAGGATAATAAAACTAAAATAATATTTTTATCTGTCTGTGTTTGTTTATTCCAGCATAATGCTGCAAATTAAATGCAGTTTTGTTTAAATACAGTGTGTCTAACTTAAAATCTATTTAAGTAAGTATATATAGACATATATATACAAAGTAATAGACAGAAACTAGTAATAAATTTAAATGCTTTAAAAAGTACAAATTTATTATTTAATAAAAAACTCTTAAAGTTAAATAAATGTGAATGTATATGTAATTATGAACACAATTATTATGTGTGGTAAAAATAAATTATTGCTCCATAAAAAGCTAAAGAGCACTTCTGGATGAAGTAATTTCTTAAAATTTAACTAAAATTTTGTCCATGTATTTATGTAAATATATAAAAAATGCTTTATCATTATTTCTTTTCATCATTAATAACACAATCAATTATATATGTAGGTGTAAAATTATCATCAACATGAATGATAATTTGTTGAAAATAATAAGCTAGGTTCGATAAATAATAAAATGTCTGTATTATGTGAAGTTTAGAAAAGAAACAGAAAACTGTCATAAATTATTATATTGTTATTTTTTTGTATTTTATATTTTGATTATAGAACATTAATAAAAACGACTATAGAGTTTTTACAACATAATTTCTGACAATTGAAGGAACTCTTGAAGAGTTCCTTCGATTGTCTACAACCTCTACCATCAAATTATTTCCAGACTGAAATCTAGAATTAAGCAAGAGTTGATATACTAACAGTTTTTACAGTAAATTGTATTTTATGTGAACAATATTTATTCTTAAAATTTTGTTCAGTGTCAGTTGTATATACAGGAACAATTAAAAATAAGTACCGTCACGCTCCGGCAAGGTTTCCAAAATGACTTGCGAAGCTGTCGAATTATATCTGAATACAGTGACTGCATAATTGATATAGCGATTTTCTGAAAAAAAAAATACAGCAGTTAAAAATTAAGATAAATATTGAAAAAAAAATATAGTTAATAAGAAAGAGAAATTATGATGTCGTGTTTTTCATGGAATACTTACTTATGTTTCGACACAACATTTTGAGAATATATTATAATTGCAGAACAATTGCAGTTATAAAAGTATTAGGTTTCGGGTTTGGTATCTAACCTAAAATTTCCATTTTATTTAAGTTAGATTTTCCGATCAGTGCATACCCTTAAAATAATAAAGGATAAGCAAAATAAAATTTAATAATCAATAAAACTAACACAATTGGATCAAAAACCCAAAAACTTCGGCCTAAATAATATTAAAATAAAGAAAGTTGAGTTTCCATTGACATTTAGGATTTTTTTCTATTTTTTCTATATAAGTTCTTGTTGTTTTAAAATTCGTGCAAAAAAATGGACAGACAAAGAGCATGACCCATACAGCCTAGTAATAAGTTAGTATCACTTCTTCATAAAAGCAGAGAAAATTATTTTTTACGTATTTTATATTAATCTTCATAGGAGTTGTAACTAACAAGTGCCTTAGTTCTTCATAAATACAATTCTTCTCATATAAAGTAATCTCCATATTAAATTACTTTTCATATACAGTTTCCATATTCGTTTTTTTTCTGTTAATGGTTTTCACGGCACTGAGTTCTAGCCCCTTGAGTAAGCATGAGATAAATTATATATAATCGCAATATGTGTCATTATCATTATCTCAGCCAATATCCGTCCACTGGTGAACATAGACCTCCCCTATAGACTGCCATAAAGAACTGTCCTGAGCCATTGACTCCCTGAAATGCATTTGAGTATGCTTTGAGGCCATCACTCCATCGAGTCGCGCCACTATGCGATGCGAATCGTCCGATATTGTATTCAACGCGATAGACTGAAACATGCGAACTGATTCAGTATCCAATATGCAGGTATCAGTTTATCGCGTAAATATCATCATTTTTATCATCTCAACTTTATTCGTCCACTACTGAACATAGGCCTCCTCTATAAATTATCATAAAAAATGGTCCTGAGCCATTTGCATCTACTGCAATGCATTTGAAGTTATCACTTTATCTAGTGAGGGGTCGTCTTATACTACGTTTGCCCATACGTGTTCACTACTCAAGAATGGAGAAAAACCCCTATCGATTGTCGGTTCTTCGAACTATGTGATCAACCAGTTGCTACTTCAGCTTGTTTGGGGGAAAGGGATTGTTAGTAATGGAGACTGAGAATCCCATTGCTAGCAATATACCCAACCAAGTCGACCTCCTCGCGGTTCCCCCTGGAAGCTATCATGGTTAATTCCTGATGAATTCATCATGATGGGCTAACTAGTCTGTTTTCATTCTCATCTATCACCCTTCATTGGTGCTCCGCCAACGTATCCCGTTAGCGCAGGCGAGGTAACCATTCCATTTTCGCCTTTTAAAAAAAATACTTCAGTTTACTTATCTTCGGGCTATGTCGGTAACATTTCGAATTCTATCACGCAAAGAAACTTCGAGCATAGCCATCTCAATAATTCACTGAGTAACTTGAAGCTTTTACATTTATGTTTCGGTTACATAAGTTTACTTTAAAGTTTTTTTTTTTCAGATATTGTTTGACGCGACATAATATTCTCTTCCATAAGTACTTGGTATATTATTCATGTTTTTCGTAAAATTAAAAAATATATATTATGAAATAGCTAAGTTTTTATAACATTGTTGGTATTTAGCTTAAGATATCTACAGATATAGATATCTTCTATTGGCGTCTGTCCTACCGTAGTTCCGAAATGATATTTTTCTATGATTTCTAAGAAAAAAATTTTTCTCTATTTTTTACCGAGTTTCAATAATTCCAAATTGGTCATTCCAATAAATTGGCCAATCATATAATCATATCAGCCATTAATTGTCTCATGCTGAACATAGGAGAATTCTATTGAGAGAGTTTTGCCAGTAGTTGCCACACTTGGCAGGCGGATTGGCAACCACAGGCTTTAGTGATTTTTAAAGAGGGACGCTGCTACCCATCTCTCATTCGTTAAGTTCCCTTAGTGACCTCTTAAGACACGAAAAAGTTGCGGCTCATTCTATACCGGCACAAAAGGATGACACATATTTATTGTTATGTATTTGTTTTTTTTTTTGTTAATTCGATTTCATTCTTATACGTTGATATATAGTATTTAAACAGTGTACTTATTTTTTGTGATATATGCTCACTGTTACTAGTTTTAATAACTTTATTGTGATATAATAATTTCTGAAATTTAAAATACACGAGATTTGATTGAATAATTGTTTTTCTTTTTTCATTTTTTGTCCAAATATATCGATCTTTTTTAGAAAATAATAAATATTAAAAATAGGCTAAAAGGGAACATTCAAAGCCATAAAGCTATTAAAAAAAAAGTATTTTGATGTTCGAGTTCATTCATTAATTGCTTTTTAGATGTGGTCAAATACTTCTGCTTTTTTTTGTATAGGTATAAGTTTGATATCTCTGATTTTAATTCCAGTTTCGTAAATGAATGAAATATATTCTAAGAATCAAATGAAATAAATAAAGTTGTCCATTATTCACTAAGAACAAAAATAAAGTAATAGTGACAGATATAATTTCACAACTATTATGCTTATGATTCAATCACAAAAATTTATATAAATAACTGTTATCATGACAAATCTACCTCTGTGTTAACAATTTCTTATTAGCTTTGTGCAATAAATTGTTATGTGAAGTTTTGGATAAAATTCATAGAACTAAGAGTGCGTATGACAATTTGTTTTGTGGCGTGGTTATGTTTTGTAGTATAAGTAAATCATTAAAATTATAGTACGTACCGGTGATAAGTGATTTGTGAAAATGTCCAAGATGAAAATTGAGGATGTAGATTTATATGCTATACTTGATCTTCAAATTACTGCTACAGAGGCTGAGGTATATTTAATATTTATGTTTTACAAATCATATTATGGTGCAAGTGACAGTTAACATTTTGATATATTTTATTATAAAAGAACTATCGAATGTATGTATATAAGTTGATCTAATAATAATCATTGCTATTTTTTATGATAAAGTAGGTTATTAAATCTTTAATTTTTTACTAACTTGTCGCTCACACTGTGCTATAACAGATACAGCACTAGTAAGTTGTTTAAAATTGTTCAATTCTGCTACCATTAGTATGAGTGTGTCTGCCAACACTCAAAGATTGACTACTATTATTATTACCAGAAGTTCTACAACCTTCCATATTAGCAATTAATTTCCTACCACCTACATGTTTTGGGACACATAATTCACTGTTAAATGAGACTTCAAGCTGATGATCTCCAAGCAAATTATTAGATCACAGTTTGGAACCTAGTTTTAACTATTCAGCACCTAATATGCAAATGTCTTATTTTCAACTGCATAACCATATCTTATTAATAAAATAATAGTAATCAATCTTTGAGTATTTCTAGTTATATCTATACTAATAGTAGCTAAATTAAACAAAATATTTATAATTAACTAACCAGTGATGTGGACTTCTACAAAATAATAGTTCAGTACACATAATGTAGTTTATTTACTAATATTCTCCTCATAGTAAATTATTGATGATACATTCTTATTCTTTTTAGATAAAAAAGGCTTATCGAAAAAAAGCTTTACAATGCCATCCAGATAAAAATCCAGATGATCCTAAAGCAGCAGAAACATTTCATGAGTTGTCTCATGCTTTAGAAATTTTAACAGATGTACAGGCTAGAGCTGCATATGACAAAGTTTTAAGGGCTAAAGCAGCAGCTAAACTAAGACATCAAGAACTAGACAGTAAGAGACAAAAACTTAAAGAAGATCTAGAGAGACGGGAAAGAGAGGCAATTTCCGGTGCTGGAGCTAGCAACTTAACAGATGAACAAAAACTTGCTGCTGAAATAGAGAGATTACAGAAAGAAGGCAGTCGACTGCTACAAGAAGAGCAACAACGGATTAAAGAAGAAATACAAAAAAATATGGGATGTCAACCAGCTTGGGATTCATCATTAAATAGAATAAAAATCAAATGGAATGTAGACAAAAATGACCCAAACAATGGGGGTTATGATGAAAATATGTTAAGAAGATTTTTAAAGAAATATGGTAGTATTGTAGCTTTAATTATGTCCCCTAAAAAGAAAGGGAGTGCATTAGTTGAATTTGCTACAAAGGAAGCATCAGAAATGGCTGTTGATTTTGAAAAAGGTACTTATATGAAAGTAAATATAAAAGTGTAAGGTATATCATTGTAGTTGCTTAATAAGTAAAAAAAATATTTACATTGCATTTCTTGTGTTTTAAGTGATTTGTTTTTGACAATTTTAAATCATATTAATTTTAAGTTTTCATTTTATGGAAAATGATAAAAGATACTGAAATTTGTCATAAAAATTGTTTTCTGTAATTCTAGGTTTAGCAGACAACCCACTTACATTGAAATGGTTAAATAAGAAGCCTATAGATACATCAACAAAAAATTTTGGAGGGCCTTCACTAATATCAGATAGAGACTATGAATCACTAGTTTTAACAAAAATGAGACAAGCAGCTGAAAGACAAAGACTAATAGAAGAAATGATGAAAGAAGAAAATGAAACATGACCAATTAAATTTCTGAAAACATTATTTGACTTTGATTATTTCATAATATGTGCATTGTGACAATAGTAATAAATAAGCTTTATTGAAATTTTTAGTGTAAAATATTCAGAAGTCAAACAGCAATATTATGATATTTAATGATCAAATGATAGGATAATTGAAAACACCAGATATAATAATTATAATAATATATTTTTTTTTATATCGGCCACACAATCATTAATGTATAAATCAGGATAATGTGCTCAGTCAGGATAATCCAAAATACAGGTTATTAATTCTGGAGTAGGATTTTATTTTTGCAAAATATGTATTCTTGGATCAGTATGTAATGCCAAGTCTATGGTATATACAACTCATTTCAAATTAAAGTATTATTAATATGTTACATTATTTATTTGCATGTATTGTATATACATATTAACTACAACTTATTAATAATAATAATCATACCCCTTTATTCATAAAAACTAAAACCTACAAACCTGATTTAAGTATTACACTGTTTTGTTACTTTATTACAAATTAGGAATTTATCACCAAAAAGAAACAAAACAGTTCAATAGCTAAAATGAAACCCACTTTAAGAGGTTAGATATTTTTTTATTAATAAGGGGGTATATCTTTATTTATGTTTTACATAAATATAATCATGTCTCTGCTTATAGAACAAAATTAAAAGAGCTAACATTTTAGATGCGTCCAGATTTTATATATTGCTATTTTCATTTTTCCTTGTGTATAATTTTCTTCATTGTCCTATTTTCAAAAGTATTTTACTTCCTAGTTCGTCATGGTGTATCCACGTCTACATGGCACCACCGCGTCGTTCAACAAAGTCTCTTATCTTCGAAATTCCTCCTCCACGTGCTATAGTGGATTCTTTACCATCCATGGTACTGGATTGTAAAATTCCCTTTCCATACTTATCTGTGAGAGTCGAACCCTAAATATTTTTAAGAGTAGCTTAAAGAGCATCTTCTATTTTGATGAACTTATTTATTTGTATGTTTTTTATACGACCATGAAGTGGCAAACAAGCATATGGCACACCTACCGGTAAGCGCTTATCGTAGTCTATGAACGCCTGTAATACCAGGAGTATTACGCGTGCGTTACTGACCCTGAAGAAACGTCTTTACCCTTTTATGAAGAATTCCATGCTGCAGTCTCTTAAAAAACCTTGATAGGGAGCTCATTCCTTAATCTGAGCGTTCTTGGGAGAAAACGTCTCTGAAACCGTCATCTAGACTAGTGTATAAGTTATGCGTAAGTATATAATCGTATCTATGTATATATATATTAATAAGAATTTAAACGACCAGAGCTTCTTATTTATAATATTTATTACAAATGTCAGCATAGTGCAAGGGGATTAAACAAGAAAAGGAAGAGCACTCGTCAATATGCATAATTTGATGAAGTGACTCATATAATATACCTTTAATATAGGTAAAGATGTACTTTAAATTCAACATATACAATTAATTTTTTTTAATGAATCAATAGAATAATAACCCCGTCTAAGCTGGCGGGGTCAGTTTTCAGAATTACTTATTCTTATTGCGGGTATCAGTGAGGGATGATAGGTGAGAACGAAAAGACAGATGAATTAGCCTATTGTAATGAACACACTTTATGGCATTTAGTACGATGGTTTCCAGTAGGAATCACGTTGAGGTCGACCTGATAGGGTATAATTCTAGCAATGAAACTTGCAACCGTATTACTAACAATCACTTATTCCCTCCACCAGTTTGTTTGCTGAAAGATAACTCTTTAAAAAAAATATGGCAGGTAAGCAAATGTACAAAGATGAGTTTACATTTGCTTACCTGCCATATTTTTTTTTTATATATTGCTTTAGTAAATTAAATATTATCAAAAATAAAAACAATTTTTTTATTAACTGACAACAACGTAGTCGAGAAAAGTGGAACAGACCGTTATTTCCGTGATAAACCTAATTATCAAATTTTAAATAACAGCGAATAAATACTTGTAATTAAGATTGTATTTTTTGCTAGTCATCATCATCATTACACCAGTTTAGTTGTTGCTACGCGTTACGAGCGGTTTAGCAATGAAGTCTTGAATTGTCTAAAATCTAATACTAAAACATTGGGGGAAAAGGGATTGTTGGAGTTTGACAGCCCCATTGCCAGCAATATGCCCTAATAGGTCGACCTCCACGTGGTTCCCCCTGGAAACCATCGTGAACAATTCTGTTGAATTCGTCACGATGGGCTAACTGACCTGCTTCATCCCCACCTATCATCCTTCACTGTTACCCCGCCGGTGTATTCCGATAGCGCGGGTGGGGTTACCATTCCATTATCACCCGTTAAAAAAAATACTAAAACATTTAATGACAATATTTACTGATCGAGGCGTTATTTTGCGAAAGTTATTATCGTAGGTTAGGTAATTAGAATAATTTTGTTAAATTTCGCTATCATTAATATGCGTGTGACTGCCAACACTCTAAGAGTGACTACTATTATTATTACCAGAAGTTCTACAACCATCCATATAATTGTTAAAAAATATAACAAGTTTACGTTTACATTTTTATCTTCCGAAATTGTCGATGATATCCTTACAGTTTAAAGATGGCAATAAGTTTGATTCAATGTTTAGTACTATTAATCAATTTAATTTCTTACTTGTCATGGTTGAACAAAGATATTTCTTCACATAAGTATTTACTGACACTTTTAATTTTATTATTTTGTTAAAAAATCACGCGCGTGCATCTTTTTATATCCACGCTTCTCTAGGCACGTTTTTAGTTTACCTTAGAGATAATCTACCTCTGCTCATACAACAGGCACGGGAAATAAAAGGGTGGCCCATTTAAAGCCCTGACCACATGGCAAAAAAACGAAAGTGTGCTAAAGTATTTAAATTTTATTAATTACAGGTTCAAAGGGTTTCCATTCTTTTATAAAATCCAAAACTTTTTTTCTTTGTATGTCTCCATATTCTCTTCGTGGATTTTTCCATAAGCTGTGATCTAAATCTAATATACCTGCAATGGTTTCCTGTAAATAAAAAAATTCTTTTTGAAATATGTAAACTGAGAGATAATAAAGAAAAAGTTAGAATTAAACTAATCATTCATTTTACTAGTAAAACAAAAATTGTCAAAAAATTTGTACAATAGTGATATATGCACACACAAATGATAGTCACAATTATAATATTGGCTAAAAATTTTGTTATCGAAAGAAAATCAAAGTTATTTATCTTTAACTAATTATATCATATATATAAAACTTAAAAAAGTCAAATTTAAATGTTATAAATAAAAATACCCACATACCTCAGCAAATGTCTTGGGAAACAATTGTTGATCTTCTATAACATGAGCAAACCCTGGGTCCATACCAAAATCTATCCAGAAATATGGCAAACCTTTTGGAATACCTTTTCGAATATCTTTACCCTTTAAATCCACAACTTTCTTATTCATAGACCATTCTGCTTCACATTCTAAGAGAGCTTTCTTAAAATATATTGCAGCCATATCACCTACATCTCTTGGTAGGGGTATGCAGTTTATAACCATATGTGGGTATCTGTGTAATCTTGTAGCAGTCTCAAAAAATACAACATCTTTGTTTTGAGAATTAAAAAATTGTGTTAGTGCCTTCCTGAAGTTCTGAAATAATAAAATGTACAACTTATTTCTATTCCTCATAGACATATTATTAAGTTTAGTATGATTACTTATTGAAGAGGTTTTAATGCATTATTATGCAATGAAAATTACAAAATATAAGTGCAACACAACTACACCAGTTGACCAAGACATGAGTAAGTTAAGTCTTTTTAAATTGGTCTGATGAAAAAAGAAACATTTACAGACTTAATTAAATGTTTGAAGCCTTTATTAAGTAATACATTCATTATTGTGGATTGTCAAATACATACTCCTGAAAATATGATATCATACACAGCTTTTATTTTATTATATACTTTTATTCGATAAAAAAAAATAGGTTTACTTACCAAAACTTCTTCCCAAATGTTTTCCTCTAATGCAGTACAACAAGTTGTATGTTGTATTGTAGTTATAATACACTGTCCAGTTACCAAAGACTTTTTAGCTGGTAATGCTAAGTAAACATTATTACCACAGGTAATTATTAAATGTTTTAACATATTTTTGGAATCTATACAATATTCACAACCTTCTAATGACTTTTCCATTTTAATATGTTGTTTAATAGCCCTCTGTTTTTCCAATTCACTTTCTTTTGCAGGATTCTTATTCTTAGATATCTCATCCATGAATATATCTTCAAGGTCATCATTAGGATTTTTATGTTTACCAGCGATTTTAGCCAATTGTGCTTCATCTTCATAATTATTGCCATATTTCTCTTGTTGAAACTGAAATAATTTATTACCTTTGATAACATAATAAAATACAAATATAGTCTCAAAGTATATGATAAGGGAGCATCTGTACATAATTCTGATATTTTAATTTTACAGATCATGGTTCTTAAGACAATTTGTTTTTTCCAAAGAATAAAAATTAAATAGGCATATCCAAATATAACAAATTTTATATGTTAAAAAATTCATAAGATTTTAATGTCAAATCTGAATGAAATGAAACTTACCATTTGTGCTAAATTATATTTATCATCATTTCCAAAGTACTTTTGTCGCTGACCAGAAGAATGAGTTTCAGCTTTTCTTTTTCCACCTTTACTTTTTGGATCTCCTTGTTCTGTTCTGGTTAATGGTCTGCTATTTCCAAATATATCTGTTGACATTAGCATTATACCTTCATTTTCTTCTTTTCCAGCATCAGGATTTTGTTTTCTGTATTCTCTAGCTGCTTCTAGTTTAGCTTTCAATTCAGCAACCAATGCTGTGTCACCCATTATTTCAGCTTTAATAATTTTTGCTCCAAGTTTATTCATTTTTTCATCACTCAAATACTGAGAATCTTTCTTCTTCTCTGTTAATGCAGCTGGACTTTGACATAAATTTGAATTTTTCTCAGTATGTTTAAAAGTTTCTGTTGATTCTACTGTTTTATTATTATTTTTAGGTTTCTTCCAGTTATATGATGAACTACAAGATGAACGTTCATGACTAAAATGGGACTTACTATACTCTTTTGATGATGATGCTCTTGAGTATAAATCACTACCATCTTCAATAGGTTTTATAAACTGTCTTGATTTACGAAAACTTTCAGGAGTTTGTGGTAAGCCAGAGCCACCATCTTTCCAGTAGGGATTGAGTTCTCTGGTACTGGTCCCTGGATTATATGAATCTATATGATTCTTATTTTTCTCTTCTTTTTTTGGTTTTATGTCATCCTTTGTGTAAGTTTTTAATAGCCCAGTCATCGACATCCAATCTTCACGTTCTGGTTTATCGACAGCTTCTTTCTCAACCCATTCATAACCTTCTGCATTATTTGTACTTGACTGCTATAAAATATAGATAAAAATAGATGTATTATATATTCAAATATATCATCATATCAGCCCTTAACCATCTACTGCTGAACATAAGCCTCCCCCATGGGGAGTTTTGCCAGTAGTTGCCATGCTTAGCAGGCAGATTCACAACCATAGGCTTTAGAGATGTTTTAAGAGGAATGCTGCTGCCCATTCCTCATCATCCCTCAATCATCTATTACAACACCTACGGGAAAGGAAGGGGTGGTCTATTCTATGCCAGGACCATACAGCCATATTATATATTATCATAATTCAATTGAAATGTATGACTTTTTTAGAATTAAGACCACAGACAAATCTTAGATATAAATTTACTATAAACAGATTTCAAGTTAGCTACAGGAGAAATAGAAGTTCTCAGATCATATCTAAGAACTCTCTCTGTGATCATCTAAGACGTAGAGATTGTTGCAGGGAAAGGAAGTTGAAGCTGTTAGATTGCAGAGTAGAGATCAAAAGTTCGCTGGAGAAAAGTAGGGAGACAACCTATGCTCTGGGCCAATAATATAATAAAATCATCAGGCAAGATCTAAATGTGCACAGCAAAAGATAAGGTCGTTTGGGGTAGACATGAAGGGCTTCTTCATCATCATATCCCACATCTTATACTTAACAATGGGTGAACCCGGGCTAAAACAGAATGAAATATAGTAATAGCTTACGGCATACGCTGGACGGGCACCAGTGAGAGGATAGATGAGGATGAAAGCAGGCCAGTAGGCCCATCATGACAAATACATCAAAAATCAACAACGATCGCTGCTAGAGGGAATCGACTGTTGATCGTTATGACAGAGTATATCGCTAATAACGATGTATACATACATAACGATGAAGAACATTATGCTATGTATGAATAAATCAATTAATCACAAGGATGGAACTGCGTGTAAAACTAAAACATGAATCCCTTACCTTACGGTGCTTGTGTTCTTTTTTCTTCTTTTCGTGTTTTTTATGTTGTTTCTTAGATTTCTCTTTCATATTTGCAGCAAATTTAATATTTACTTCGTAAATTTACTTCGTAAATAAAGGTATCTACTCCGGATTACTAATATTTATAAATGAAATCGTTCTAAAATACTAATTATGTAGTATTTAGTACAGAATATAATTATGAAGAAACAAGAAATGATAACTAAACAGAGCAAGTAATAACCAAAGAGTATATAAACATATCACTACGTTATGACAGTTGACATTGACATTAGCATTGTATCAACGGTAGGCAGCATGGTCTGTGACCTAAGCCTGTTCCACAACGGACAAACATACTAAAAAAAAAATGTATCAACGGAACCTAGAAATTGAAATGCATGCTAAGAACAAGGAATTACATGAATGGAATAATAAAATAAAAACTGTAAATCATATGGTTGCCTCCTTTCTTCTTATGCAAATATAATTATGTAGAAAGTATGCAAGCAGGTTGTATCTGGATTTGGTAGGGTTATACGGCCGTATAACATTTTCTATATGCCTGCTATGAATTGACAAAAATAACAAGTGATGGTGTATCTTTCGTCCTCTTTTTACTAATTATATTTGCATAAGAAGAAAGGAGGCAACGATATAATTTACAGTTTTTATTTTATCATTCCTTCTATGTAATTCCTTGTTCTTAGGTCACGGTGGTGGAATATTATTACACGCGACAGAAAAAGATAGTAACATTCATTTTACTATGGAAGCAAATTTCCAAAATCTTTAGAACAAACAAAAGAGAAATATTTTACTCATACTTTCAACTTATGCTTTGTGTAACAATAATCTGTCTTTGTCAAAATTCCTTTAAAGTTCACCCGGTACTTCAGTGTATAATAATTTTTTTTACTTCTATTTCACGTTTCATTATCTGTTTCGGGAACGACTCTACTCTGTCTTTATTAATAAATATGCCGTTTAGTCGACCGTTTGCTTATATAAATTATTCATTTAATCAAATATTTAAATATATATATTTTAGCTTCGTATCAATTTATGTGCTTATGATTCATTTGAATCGAACCTGTTTTGATATAATAATGGTGATATCGGATATTATATACCCGCTATTGTCATTTTGTAGATATCGCCATCGTGCATGTATCCTATAACGAATAGAGTTGTAACGGTAGAAATCGGTGTAGCTAATATCGCACCAAACGCGATACACTGATATGTGCGTATTGGTTACTATAAATCAGTTTGCACAAATATACACATACATACACATACACACAACTCGGTTATTTATAATGTTTGATCAATATACATATATTGCGACTATATCTAGTGTATGTTATAAGCATATTTTGTTTGTCCCTATTTTTATTATAGTCTCTTTAATCTGTGATTCTAATTTATGGTTAGGCTGTATGGTTCATGCTCTTTGCCTGCCCATTTTGGACGACTCTTTGATTTTTACTTATAATTACGTATATTTCATAAATTTCTTCATATTTGTTATAGTTTTATATGAAATAACGATTTTTAAAGACATTATCTTGTTGTTCAGGATTAAAAATATTTATATACTGTTTATATTTCAAACAACAATTAAATTTGAAACACATAATGTGATTACGACAGGTAATTCAATTTACTTGAAACACGAATGGCTAAAGAATGTCAAATTAGGTTGCTTATTATTCTGTTTGTGTTCTCAAGTACAAGAATTACTATCTAAAGGTTAGTACTGACTCTATTCATGTGTTTTTGCCACATTCATGTTTCGAATAATAAAAAATCTTATAGGCATGTGTAAACTAAATTTGTCCAATAATAATTGTTGATTCACCTGTCGCAAAAGAAAGTACGGTTGGTATGTGAGCTTTCTTTTTCATTGTATAGTTATTTAGAGATAGATTTGAAATTATTGAAATAATAGTTAATAGAATGTAGTATTCTTTGATATTCTTTTTTATTCCTTATAAATTATTGTAAACTTAATTAGGTAATAAATATTTTTTTAAAGCAATATTATTTGAGATCTATTAATTTAAAGTAAGTTGTTTAAATCAAGTATAACACGATTTAGTAGCATGTATGTTGTATGATATAAATATAATGATTGTTTATTTACAATATTTCAGAGAACAAAATCTAGAGAGAATGTTTTCAAAAAAGAAAAAGAAGCCACTAATTTCCCCGCCAAGTAATTTTGAGCATAGAGTTCACACTGGTTTTGATAAACAAGAAGGCAAGTTTGTTGGATTGCCATTACAGTGGGCTTCACTTGTTGGAAATAATCAGGTAAATATGCATGTTTTACATATTTCTTGACAACTTGTGTAATGTAATAACTTGTGAAATTAAAGAGTAAATATTTGGACTAGAATTCTATATAGAAAAAGGATGATAGATGTTAGAGGAGGCCTTCATTAACCAAAGGCCTTATATATATGTGCTTGGTTCAAATCAATTTAAATATGTTTAAATATAAATGTGTTTATATGTGTATGTATATATTTGTTCATTTATTTATTTATTTATTCATTAATAAATCTAGTGTGCTAACATATAAAATTATAATAAAAGTATTTAACCCAACCCCAGATATGTCTGAGCCACTTTTAATATCTTTGGCCAGCTACTACTAAAAATATCAATGATGTTTATAATTTTATTTAATAACTGTACTGCGTGATTTAAGAGAGCATGCTGAAGTAGGTTAGTTTTGACTGGTGGGACATTAGATGTAATGGGATGATGGCATAATTATATTTATATATATTGTAGTAAATTAAGTCAATATTTTATTGAACGAATAAAATTTCATAATCTAAAAAAACAATAACATAATTTATGCACCTATTTATAGTTGTAAAATGTTAAATTGTGATTTTTTTCCAATTATAATAAGTATATTAAGTTTTTTTTCAAATGTACTTGAACTGGAAAATATTTAGGTATTATTTTGACAATCATATTTATATTAGTTACTTAATCAGCAGTTTAAGCTTGTGTTCAGAAATTTAACTGTCATAGCTCACTCTTTAAACTGAAACAATATACAGTAAGCTGTTGTGTTGTAGCCACTTTGTACATCTCCCTCTGTTATAATTTATTTAATAGTTTTTTATTGTTTATATATTTTTCCAGATATTAAAGTCTACCAACAGGCCATTACCTTTAGTAGATCCATCAGAAATCACACCCACCGAGATTTTAGACTTAAAAACAGTAGTTAGAGGTGAACATAGAGTTACTTCAGTATCCTCAATTGCTCGACCGATATCAACCAGCATACCAACTCCACAGCCAGTCCAAAATGGTGTTGTCTTGCCGAAAACCTCCAATGTTGCTAGATCAAACTCTTTGAGAAGCACTAGTCCACCTCGGATACGAAGGGATCTACGCAATCAACCTAATGTGCCTCCTCCTGTACCTGAAGAATCACCACCAGTACCACCTGCTCCACAACATGAAGAATCACTTCATAAAGCTTTTATGAGAAAAATTATGTCAGATTATGATTGGACAGGCCAACCTGTTGACACATCCAGAGCAGGCACAGAGCTCAATGATAATCATAATCCAGCATTGACATACCAGAATATACAAAATGCTAATGTGCCTTATCAACATAATCAGCCTCCCCAGCCTGTGCCTCACAATATACATCAAGGCGTTAATGGAAACAATGTTAATAGAGGTAATTGATAAATAATAATTTCACATTTTTAATAATTAGGTTAATTTCATGTAAATAATATTTCATATGCATATGCAATAACCTATTAATGTTTTTTTATGTAACTTAGAATGACAAACAAGCTGACGGCCCACCAATGTAAAGTGGTAACCATTATCTATAGAAATGAGCAGTACCATGGACATAACCGAATAAACTGTTTTGCCCATGATACCTCCCATGCATTTACCATTTCTGAGGACTAAAGTGTTATTTGTGTGTGTGTCTGTGAAACCCAGCCATGTAAACACAACTGCTTTATGATAGAAACATGAATGGGACAGAAGTACTCAAGCTAACAATTTTTGTACAAAGTCTCCCTCTGGCAAATGTAATGTCTCATCACTGAGCATGGCTCTTTTCATAAGAGGTGGCTATAACCTATAATAGTAGGAAGATAATAATAAAAATTATCATTTTGATCAGACAATTAGGTATTATATTTTATTTCGAATTTTGTTGACCTTGCACTGGTTTATAATGCATTATTCTCTTAGTAGTCACTTAAGATATTTTGAGTAAGCAAAGGAGTTGTGACAGATTATAGTCTCACACATGTTTTATATAAAAATATTAAGCATGTTTATTTACATCAGGTGACGCATACCCAGTTCCTGCATCACAACATCACCATCAACATGGAGCCGTTCCAGTTGCTTCACAGCATCTCCCATTAGCTTCAAAACATGAATTACGGCTGACCCATGAACAGGTATTGTCTTGCTGTTTAGTTTATCCCATTAGATTTCTAATACATTATTTGTCTCTGAATTTCATATGTATGTTAACTATATGTCATATGTTGCATATGACATACAGTTTGTTTTAATCATTTATGAGTGCAGTCTGTCAGTCGTCATTCCAGGGCTGTTTTGTTGTGTTCTTGCCATTCTAAGTTAAGTAAAATTAAATTTCTTTAAATAGTTTCGAGCAGCGTTAAGGCTGGTGGTCAGTGAAGGTGACCCACGGTGTACCTTGACTGGGTTCAGTAAGATTGGAGTAGGCAGCACTGGTGTGGTGTGTGCTGCAACAGATACGTTGACCTGTCGCCGCGTCGCCGTTAAGATGATGAACTTGCGCAAGCAACAGAGGCGGGAGTTGCTTTTCAACGAAGTGGTAAGTGTAATAGCCACTAGTAGACATGTACATGTTTCTATAAATGGTATTGGAAATAGATAACAGCAAAATTAAAATGTATGTACATTTCTTTATGTACAAATACGTAAATACGTTTGTGTCCTTTGATGTACTTACAAAATCCAAATATTCATAGAATACGAGGCAATTTTTGGTGTAAATAGCAAATATTTTTTATATATATTTTGATTATAAAAAAATTAAAATCGATAAACACAAATACCTGTGAATTTGCTTAAATATGTTGAATATTGATATTACTTTTAGAATTTATTTTAATAAATCATTCTAGTGATTGACATTGAAACTATTAAAACAATTTTACTTAATAATGAAATGAATAATTCATTTCATTATTAAGTAGCATTAGCAATCATATTTAGATATGTAACTTTGTATCTCCCTTAGTCGCCTCTTATTGTACCCACGGGAAAGGAACGTGTGGTCTATTATATCAAATTTAATTACAGAGGAATTTCATTATTATATTTTTCATTGATAGGTGATAATGCGAGACTACCCGCACCCGAATATAGTGGAGATGCACGCGTCGTACTTAGTGGGCGATGAGCTGTGGGTGGTGATGGAGTACATGGCAGGTGGTGCGCTCACTGACATCGTCACCAGGCATTCGGTCAGGATGGACCCCGAGCAGATCGCTACAGTTTGTAAACAGTGCTTAAAGGTAATTTATATTTATTATTGAATGGGTAGAATCAATAGATCCTCCCCTATATAATATAAAAAGAAAATAATTTTAATATCTTGATTCATTTTCTGTATGTTACATCATTGATAATTTTTTTTATTTTTTTATTTATCGCGGAAGCGTCTTCACTTGTCAATTATTTTATTTTTTCCATTTTGAATAAAATGTGGCTAAATGTATTATCATTTGGTTAAATACATTTATATCTTCAATGGAATATGGACATATTGACAGTCATCTAATGCTTCAGACTATAATATCATCTGGAATTATTATCTCAGTTTAAAAGTTAAATACTACCTATTTATGCTTTAATTCTTTCTACCTAAAGGTTGCCTGGAAGAGATTTCTTAGCAATAAGACCGCCTTTTGTATGTATACTTATTGAAAATTGTTCAACAAATCCTGTTATGTTGGTGCAATAAAGTGTTAAATAAATAAATAAATACTTTGAAGGCATGCATTTTAAAAAAAAATGTGGTTATTGGCATTTTTGTTCATTAGAAACGATAAATTAATGGTGTATCTAATAAGTCACAATTATCCGTAACAAAAAAAAAGATACTCTACCATATAATTCATATCTTTACATAATAAACGTTCTAATAAATAGAAAATTTATTTTAAGATACCTATTTGTCATTTTTTAGTAAGACTAAAATTTGGTTTACGTTCTTACAATAGTGTATACATAATTACATTTGTTTATTTCAGGCATTAGCATTCCTCCACGGTCAAGGCGTTATTCATAGAGACATTAAATCAGATTCTATTCTTATGACGGCAGACGGTCGGGTCAAGTTATCGGATTTCGGTTTTTGCGCTCAAGTTTCTCAAGTAAGTTTATCTTTTACTTTTAGTACTGTCATAAATATTCACTGTTAATTTAATTCATGGTTAATGAATGAACGCTGTACTGTGTTTTTTTAGGAATTACCAAAACGCAAGTCACTTGTTGGTACTCCATATTGGATGTCACCTGAAGTTATATCCAGATTGCCATATGGCCCCGAAGTAGATGTGTGGTCTTTGGGTATTATGGTAGTGGAGATGGTTGATGGAGAACCTCCATTCTTCAATGAACCACCTTTGCAGGTCAGTAATTTCTATTTTAAATATATTTTTTTATATTATTATGAAAATGGGAGTGTTACCTTAATTACAGCTTATCCATTTATTTTTACTTATTTTGTTGTTTATTGTTTGTTCCTATAAATTCTTAATAATAAGAAAATTAATTATATGTAATAATTATATGACATTAGTTTGGCACCTGAATAAGTTAATATATGTTATTATTTAAAATGAATTGCCCTTTACGTATTCTTGTACAAGATAAAACAGAGTAATAGAAAGTATATAAATAATTGAAATACAGTGATGATATTATTTAATTGAACACAGGAATTATGTATGTTTACTTTAAAAAACACTATTAATATTATAAATGTATTTGTAAAGATATTTGGATGTTAGTATGTTTGTTACTCAGTCAGACTATAACATCTTAATTAAATTAAATTTGGATTACCAAATGGGCTACTTTTTATCATAATGCACGCGAGCAAAGCTGCGGGAAACAGCTAGTATAAAATCTGTTGTCGGTTGGTAGGCGATGCGACGCATCCGAGACATGCCACCTCCACGGCCGAGACTAGCTGCCCGCTGTCCGCCCGACTTGCTAGCCTTCATCGACTGTGCACTCGTACGTGACCCCGCGCAGCGGCAGTCGGCCGCCCGCCTCCTCCACCATCCGTTCTTGCGTCGTGCCGGGCCACCCGCGCTGCTTGTGCCTTTGATGCCGCACAACCAACCGCAGCCTCATCCCCCCGCCCCACCGCATCCCCATCCACACCCTCAACACCAGCCCCATCCGCAGCCACATCACCTCCAAGCGCATCCACAACCGCACCATCATCCAAATGAACAGTGAGTATATTTTAAATCGTAGTTCGACTTTTAATTGCAGTATAATGATAGAACAAAATGAGTTTACATAACAATTTTCAATGTACATTTAGTTTAACTATGTTGTTATTTAATTCATTTTTACACTATCTGGAATGAAAATTTGACTATCATGTCTTGAAGTATTGACTTGCGACCACATCAGGTAATAAATAGCCTTAAGATAATATTCAACATCAGTTATGTGGTGTATGGTAGTGTACAATTCATGCTACTCAGAGAATACACTTCTATTATCCAATTAAAGGGTCACCACAGATATGAATTTATATACATGCTGCCTCGGTACAAAGGTTCTCAAATGAATAAGAATTTTAACATAAATGTCTCACATAACATTTAAAAAAAAAGAAAAAATTGAAACAACATTATGGTATTTTCCAAAAGCTTTAAATTGAAAGGGATTTGTTAACAAAAAATATATTTTGTAGCATAGTTGAGTAGTCAACCATTTATTTTAATGTAAATTTCTATACCTATAGTTATTCATTATTGATGACTGCTGTAATAAATATGCATAATTTTTTTTTTTTTCAGATAAACGACAATCCCCACCTTACAACTGCTACAGAAGAAGTAAAAAATTTGTCGCCTATTTATATAAATGTTATATGTTATACAATATGGTAAGCCAAAGTTGTTATCAATACAACTCCTTATCATTCTACTTATTTATAAGTTTCTATAAAATAATAAAATCTTGATAAATGTGTGTTATAGTTTTACCCAAAAATATTTGTCTTTGTTCTATTTACGTGTGTCGGATTAAAAGGTTCGTTATGACACATGTTAAATTGGTATATAATTTACTGGTATCTCTATCATATCATAAAATTATAATTGTGTCCTTCTGTCAATACGGGGTTTTAAAACAGCTGTACTAGCTTTAATGTAGACAAATATTAGTAGTTGGTTTTTGTTTTTTGTCAATGACAAAATTTCAATTTGCGTTTAAATCTTATGCTGTTTGTTAATAAATCACGGCTACATTATGTTTGTATGTAAATTTCACGCGAGCACTAACTGAAAAATACAGTCGATACATTCGTTTGCCTCCTGTTTATGAGTCTAAAATTCTGTCACATTTTTATTGATTTATGACTATATTTAGAATGTTCTCTCACATACGTTTTTAGCTTCAGGTTTAATTTCTGAATCTAATTTCGTCGACATAATAATAAAATAATTTGTCAATGGAATCTATCTGGGTAAAACTGTAACAAATTTTTTATCATACGTCAATTGAATAATTTCAGTTAATTTTTTTTTTATTATTTTATATGATGTAGTGTTAGCAACAAAAGATAACCAGTGAAATCATTCAAATTTTTTGTAAATAGTATGTAATCATTAAAATCAACATTTCGCCTATTAGATTTACTCATGTGATTGATATTTGATTTTAAATACATATTTCAGTATTGTTTTTTTAATCGAAGGTGTCTTAGTAAGTAATATACATACATATATACAAATTTTTGTACGCAAGGCAACTGATATAATTATATTATTATATTTAATCTAGTATTTATAACATTCCTTATTTAATCTTTATTTTTTTATTATGCAAATTCAAGATCAGTTATTAATGAATTTTAATATTATTGTTGAAATTATTTTTGATGTATTGCCATAAAATGTTGGTTGGTTATAAGAATTGTTGTAAGAACATGCTGTAATTTGCATGTAGCAAGTATTGTCTTTAATTTTAGGTATTTGCGTACCTCTTATTATATTCAAAACTTAGTAAGATTAAGTATTAATATTAGCAGCCAGTATGATGGAAATACCCCAATAAATGTTAAGTGTCAGACATTTTAGAATGTATGAAGTAATAATCTGACGATGTTTTTTTATTAAAAAGTTCTCTATCTTTTTTGTGGAAGAGTGATACGACAAGAGTAAAATCTCTGTCTCTCATCAAATCTTATTCGCACTCTATATTGCTATAGAACGATTAAACGAAACATTGAATTATGTCTTGTTTAATCCTCTCATTAACCTCAAAAATGAGATTTGCTGCGAAGCAGGCATACTACTCGCCTGTTTATCTTAATCTTCACATGATGACTAGAGGTTTGTTGTTTAAATAAATTTAAAATTTATATTAATTTGTTGATCACAATAATTATGTCGTAGTAATGTCAGATCTAATATTTTATGCATGACAATTATAGATATTAAAAAAAAAATGATATTTTCGATACATCTATTAACACAGTAACTTTAAAGACTAGATAATTATAGCGTGAAAAATTTGTGCCTGAACGTTGATCAATACTTTTCAAAATCAGTATTAAAATGACAATTCGCTTATGTACTTACTTTGTTAAGAGAATGTATTGTACTTAGATGGTATTTTATATTCAACGTTAATATTTATTAATGAACATTTCATAACTACATTCCGATAAAATGTTATTTTTGTATATAGGTTGTGGTGTGGTCACAAACAATTTATGGGAAATCAAGAATTAATATTAATGAAAAATTAAAAATATTAAAGAAGCGTTTAAGCGATTTAAAATGTTGGCCTTATAGTGGTATTATAATGAATAGAGACATTAGTTGGGGTGATGAGGGGCTGACGTGCTATATCTTTTTAACGACTTCAAAGAAATTATTAAGCTGTTTGTATAATATGTGATATGAAACCATACTGATCAATCTTATTTCAAGGATTTATTGCTTATTATTTATTTATTATTATTTATTTATTATTATTAATATTTCCTTGCTCCCCCATCTAATGTGATTAACATTTTTAATTAAAAATAAAAACTTTGGTGATCTTTGGTTTTACATACTAAATATTAATGTTTATTTATATCCAATGAGGCCAACTTATTCTGCGCGAACTGTGAAAGCAATTAATTTTACAGATCAAACTTTGTGTCAATAATGTGTTCAGAATATATTGTATTTAGTGGAGAATAATAATGAATGAAAAATAACCGTAGCACTGTCTGTATAGTAGATCTTTTGAGGTACATACTTAAGACAATCACATTTCACATTCTTTACAATTAATGAGCAGTATTAAATAGTTGTCCGTAATTAAACGAAAAGGAATAAATGAAAGTATATCTGTTTAAGACAATTTATAGATATCTACCATGTTTGTAGACAGTCGCGAGTGTGTAGTCATTTTTAAAATTCTGTCATCATACAAATTCGGAATGGAATGATTACATTTCTAAAATAATAGTTAAATTGGACATAGCAATGTTTTTGTTAATTAAATATGTGCTATTAGCAATTCTATTTCATAATAATAAATTGTAACTAGACGATACATAGTTGACACATATATATATATATATATATATATATATATATATATTGTTTTTTTTTCGAAAATTATGCAAAAATTATTGTATCAAATTAGATGCGGTTTCCACATTTGTGTTACCGCAGACGTATCTTAGAATCTGGTCTAGTTTTATGTTAATACGTCATTTAGAACTGGTTAGGTACCTTATTTCTAAATCCATGTGGCTAATATACTCTGTAAAATTAGTCTTCAATTTTTGTGAAAAATTTGGGGGTATCGATTAAATGTGGAGGATGGTGATGATAAACAATGTTTTTCACACAAATATCACGTTATTTATCTTTGGAGTAATTTTTAGTTTAAAATATGAATTGCTACATGCACATATTTTAATTTTTAATGTCCATTTTAATGGATTCTCCGCAACTACGCTATTAATATTAGTAAGTACTTAATAATCTATGACTTAGGCAGCTAGAATTGAGATTATGTTGTATTTCTGTTTCATTCACGTTTGTGGTAATATCAAAGAGCCTTAAAATTAGACTTAGTGCCTTAACACAGCCTAGAACTAGATTTTAGAACTTATTGCACCTGATGTTATTTTAGGTATTTTAAAACTAAGTATAAGTCAGAGCCCTAATATATCACTCATCACAAAATATTTCATTCGTACTCAATTTACATTTCCATTTTATAATTTATTACTTACATTAGTTAAGATTTTGTTTTAATGAGGTATATGCCAAATATATTGTAATTCTATATTGCATTGTTGATAAGAACTGTTATAAAATATAGAATTTGAAACAATATAGTTTTTTTTTATTTATTCAAGTAACTACTTTTTAATTTTTGAGTATATGCAGCGGTCCGCTGTAATACTCAAAGGCTACATTATATTAGCAAAAATAGATTTATTCTTGCTTTTACATACACATGCCACAAAGAATATCTAAGAATAATTAGTTTTGTTTTTAATTATATTTTAATGAACTTAGTCACGTATCAGTCGTGGCTGGTACAGCCAACCTAGCTCCGCCCAGAAGCGCAGAAGCTTCCTGGGTTCTTCACAGGCCTCACGGAGCGACTTCACCGTTCCGAGGATTTCTTAAGTTCTAGGGAATTGAGATAGTTAAAAAAAAACCTGTTCTTACACATATTTATTATATATTTTGAATTAAAATATCGAGATAACACAAAACTTATTTATAAAATTCATATTCACTTTCGTCTTTTTTGATATTATTCTTATAACCTTTTTCGAAATCTTTCGGCAATACAATATACCTGAAACAAAATGCGAATTGAATAAATTAGTTCATTGCTTTTTCAAGTACCTACTGAACCGAGGTTGGCCTGCTGTTCATGCAGATCTAGATGAGGAAATATTCGATTTTGACAAAAATAGTGAGGAAATATTTCGCTATTTCTTGTATGTAATTATGAAAAGGAGAATCGGTTAGAATTTGTGAAGATAATGTATCTAAAACTTGAGAACATTTTTATTTAAAGTTGGTTAAAAACTATCTAGGTTCATTATGAGAGAGTTGGTTAATAGATAACTATACTTATAGATTTCAAAGGCAACAACTTCGAATTTAAATGATATCCAAAACTGTATGTCGTTTAACAGTAAAGGAAAATATTATATATTAACCAAATTCCCTCACAATGAGTGACTGGTAGGCTCATCACCTGTCACGTTAGATTCAAATGTTCATCATTGTGTGCATGCCATTGTATATTTAGTGCAATAGTTGACAAATACCTATAACTAATCCAGATGACTAACTAATTCCAGATGGGTATCTGGAGTTACAATTGTGAGAATAACATACCTATTCTCTCGAACTGCGTGCATGCCAGCTTCTTGGCATATGGCATTGATATCTGCGCCCGAGACGCGGTCTGGCCGCGCTACAAACTCTTCTAGATCCACTTCTTCAGACAAGTTCATCTTTGCCGTAATAGTTGAGAATATAAGCCGTTTTTGACGTCTGTGAAAGGATAAATATAAAATAATACATTTTAGTTTTTCAAGTCATATAAAATGACAAATTACATAAAAATATTAAAATTTTGAAGACTTGTAGTCAATACTTTCTAATATATAAAAATATTTTAGTAATAATAATAATGTACAATTAATGTAAATTTTTCTATATAATAAAAATGGTGAACAAACTTACAATTTGCCACATGATATTTTATTGCTATTGTTAATTTCGATAAGGGGTAATGGTTTAAAATTTATTTGCAAGTATAGCTTCAGATACTGCATTATTATGTAGGTATAATTATGTAAGTAAATGCAATATCGTAACATAGTTTACCTGTCAGGAAGTGGGAATTCAATCTTCCTATCAAGGCGGCCAGGTCGAAGAAGAGCAGGATCTAAAGTATCAGCTCGGTTTGTAGCCATTATGACCTGGAGTAAGATTTTTTGTATTAAATATAAATTTTGCGTAACTGTACAGATAATATAAAATGATGGAGTGTACTGTGCGAACTCACCTTAACATTGGTGGTTTGATCAAAACCATCCATTTGATTTAAAAGTTCTAGTAAGATTCTCTGAACTTCTCTGTCAGCGCCGGTTTGGGCATCAAATCTGAAGCATAATATAGTGAATTTAAAATATATAATAAAATCGTTTTACAAATTATAAAGATAAAGATAAATTTATTTGCAAACATGTGTACATAGTAAGTGCAAAGACATACTTGTTGTTCATTGGAGGATTTGTATAATTCTAACATGTTTTGCTAACTTGATTGTTTAACTTAATTTTTAAATTTCATTAAATATTTATATGAGAACTTATAGAAAATTCGAAGTTGATACTTGTAATAATACCTTTTAGTTGCGATAGCATCTATCTCATCTATGAATATAATAGCTGGACTGTTCTCCTTGGCAAGACGGAAGACATCTCGCACCATACGTGGACCTTCACCCAGGTACTTTTGCACGAATTCAGAACCAACCACACGAATGAATGCAGCTGTAATTACAATTTAGTATTAATGTATACTAATATTATTAAGAGGAAAGACTTGATTGTTTGTTGGTAATGCATAAACTCAAAAACTACTAAGAAGAATTACTAAATTAAAGTTACATCATCAGCAAGTAACACAGACTATATATTATGCTCGAAAATTCTGTCTACATGTGTAAGACAGGATTGCTTGTATAAAAAATTTTGATGAACATGAAAATAAATTATACTCCCATGTTTAAATATCACTCACCTGTGGTATGATGAGCTACTGCTTTAGCTAACATTGTCTTGCCACAGCCAGGCGGTCCATACATGAGTACACCTCGTGGAGGTTCAATACCAATTTGTCTATATAACTCCACATGTGTCAAGGGCAACTCCACAGCCTCCCTTATTTCTTGTTTCTGTGTGTCCATGCCTCCTATATCTGAATATTGGACATCAGGCTTCTCATCTGTATGACGAAAGGAATATAAGTTTTATTTACTATAATATTATCTAGAATTAAAACAATTTTTTATATATATAAAGAATACGGCAAGCAAATATATAGTCAGCTTGATGGTAAGTGACCATTACAATCTGTGAAGGTTTGGGTCACAATACCAAGTTTAATGAAATGTGAAAAAAGTTGATGGTCTTGTTGTTGGAAAATGGTAACTTTCTTATAGACATGAACAGTATCACAGACTACATTGTAGATACACTGATTACAGAATACATTGTGATATCTATAATACCCCTTATGGGTTGCTAAAAGATGCAACTTGGTTGAGATTGGAAGCAAAACTATTTTGTCATAATAATTATATACATACCCACATTAATTGACTTAATCAAATTACTCATTATTTTCATACATAAAACCTTATTCTCCTGAAATGGAGTTGCAGGAGAATAAGGTTTTATTGACATCCCATTTTTTATGCATACTGAAATCTGAATGTACTTTTAAGAGGACTTTCCTTTTTTGGGGGTGTTGTAAGAGGACTAAGGGAACTTAACGGTTTAGGGAAGGGTAGAAACATTCCTCTTTAAACATTGCCGAAGTCTAACTACAGTTGCAAACCCACTTTCCAAGTGTGGTAACTATTGGCAAAAACTCCCTTTTAGGACAGGCCTATGTTTAGTACGGGCTGGTTAATGGTCATTATGGCATTAAAGTTGTATCAAATTATGAAAGTGATTAGCTATAAATCTGTTTAAAATACCAGCTTGCAGCATAGAGATAGAGCTATCAGCTTCAGGTGGCAGAACATCTACAAGAGCATTTGAATGCTTGTGCAGAGCAACAGAGGCTGAAGGTTTCAGCAGTTCACGATCTATTGTTGATAGGATGCGCACATAGTAGTTGGAGCCTGTGGTACTTCCAACTGAAAAAAAAGAGTATATTAGTTAAAAATGCAAGTCTTAGATATACAAAAATAAGATATATGCTATTTTAGAGACTAAAAAGTAGATTTTATTTTTTCTGTATTTGCCATTAGTCTTTTTACTAGTTATAATTCAATCTATTATATGGGTATAGTTTGTGGTGTGGTAGGTTTCCTTTTCAATCATTGAGAAATTTCTTTCAATATGTCTATGAGCAGATCTTAGATCTTATAATGGCAGACATGCTCTTTTCAGGTAGAACACATCATCACATGTAACTAAAAGCTAGGCTAAAAATGCTGTACTGTCATTTTAAATTTTGTATAAATACAAGAATTCAGAAGATACAAAGTAAAATACACAAAGTTTCATATTTTTGGCAAGTTTTGACTCTACACACTCTTTGCCTATGAAATTCGTTTAAAGTGTAATATTTGTATGGGAATGTTTTATTTTTTTATACATTAGTATTTGTAATAGTAGGTATATAAACTTAAGATAATTTTATACCTATTCCAGTGTTTTGATCAACTGCTTCCAAAAACTGTCCAATGACCAATGGCACAGACTGTATACGTTTCACCTCTTCCTGAGCATGTAAATATTCTTTTTTCAGATTTCTTTGTTCATCCTTGATATATTCTTCTTGCACTTCCAAAAACTCTAACATACGTTGTAGTTTCTGTAAGTAATAGATTTAGTGATATATTGAGAATACATTTTGTGTTCAATTTGTAAATATATATGCAACATATAGTTGGTTAGCTATGTTAGTTACGAAGTCATTGTATTTTTAAAGTTGAAATAGTAGATATATTATGTAAATATTAAAATAATACCTTATATTTCGTGTATAAATCCTCAGATTCAAGTTCGTCAAAGGACTGAGGTCCAGCGAGTGCCTTTGTATCGACGACTTGCTCATCCTATATGTACGAAAAGTAAATATGTTTAAAAATATGTACAACCATTGTAAAAAAAACATATTTGATAACGAAATTACCTTCTCAGGTAGTATAATTCCAATTTCTTCCATTTTTTATAACCGTATTTATTTTATCCCAACTATTATATTAAAATGACAACGATAATAAGAAAAGATGGCAGAGAAACGAAACGTCATGAAAATGTCAAAATAATACGCTATATCATGCTGTCGCCAGTGTACGGTTCTTTTTACGCATAATAGAATTTATGTAGAATAATTTGTATAGCAGAATTTTAAACAATCGAAATTTATAAATGGGGAAAAGTATATCCTACAAATGTGTCTTTTGTATTACACATTTTATAAATAATAATACAAAATACATAATTTTAAATATAATTTGTGACTTTTTGTGACTTTTTTTGTGTAATCTTAGGTATTATGGGTAATTTTCAAACTAGAGTCCACTGCAAGCATTATTTATGCAAACACACAAATAAGCATTTTTTAACATATTTTTTGATAACGAGCGGTTAACACTTAAGAGTCCATTTGACAACGCATTCGAATTAGTTCATCTTTATCAATTGCCATAAATGGAGTTGCTCTTAAAGTTGTTTGGTATTTACCTAGGGCTCTAATTAGATTAGGGTTTTCTTAAGAGAGGAATCAAGAATCCAACTGTATTATTTTTATAGAATTTTTAGGATTTTTCTAGTAGATTCTATTACGAAGCCTAAGAATAAATGTCTACAATCAGTGCACCTAAGCAGTGTCCCTTGTCAGTTAGATACACCTATATATTTAATGGATGATAATGAAATGGTAACCCCGCTTGCACTAACGGTCTATGATGGCGAGTCACCAGTGATAATAAATGAAAAAACAGGTTAGTTAGCTCATCATGATGAATACGCCTAACCTAACAGGGTTGGGGGAAAAGGATTGTTAGAAATGGGGTCTAATAGCCCCATTACTAGCAATATACCCTCTCGGGTCGACCTCCACGCCGTTCCCCCTGGAAACCATTATGTTTAATTCTTGTCGAATTTATCATGGTGGGGTAACTGATCTGCATTCATTCTCACCTATCATCTACTATAGCGCGGATGGGGTTACCATTCAATTTTCACCCATTAAAAAACCTAACAGGGTATATTACTAGCAATGGAACTGGTGGTTTGCATTACTAACTATTCCTTTCTTCCGTGTGAGCTGTGGTAAAAGTTAATATACCTAGGTAGAGTAATTACTTCTTAATCTTAACATGACTTTATTTTATTTTGAAGTGTAGTCTGTTAAATACGCTTTTCAAAAATATATACATGTTGCATGTTATTTATATTTTTATTTCAGTAAATTGAGAAAATTCAAAATATTCCTAGACGATGTTGATGGGTGTATTAGCTTATTATTATTAGACATTTGTTATTGCAATAAGTAATGTATAGAATACGATTTAAAGATTTTTATATCTTGTGTTTACGTGCTGTGAATAAAACATATCATAACATGGAGACTGTATAAATAAAATGAATGTATGAGACATTTGAACAAAAACTATATTATATTGTTTTAATATATAACTAGTAGGTTGAACCCGAAACAATAAAGGACTCGCTCGTCTAATAGTTAAGTTTAGACCCAGATGGTGGAGTAATAAGAGCGACCTAAAGGGATTTAAATTTACTATTAGTAAATTTATATGAGTAGATAAGTTTGCAGTAATTATCAACTATATAGTATTATACCTAAGTGATATTGGAAATAGACTTAACTACTTAACATGGTTAATTGTATGAGATTATTTGAAAGTTTCAAAGAGAAGAAATAAAATATAAAGACTTAGTTAAAATACCTAACATAATATAGGCTAATCAACTTAATACTCAAGAATGGTAACACATGAGGGGTTGCAATGGGTGCCACAATAATTTTGTATTGTCTATGACCATCATCGGATCTAACAGCTCACATCCGGTGATGATCATTGATAAGTTATAAATGTAAATTAAAAATAGTATAGGTAAATAAAAGAATTTTAATTAAAAGTTTTCATTTAGAAATAAAAAATGTATAATTAATAATATAATATTGTGTTCCGCAAAAAAAAAAAAACAACTTTTGTAGTGATAAAACCATTGACTTAAAAACTAATCCGTTTTTGATAAAATTTATACTGGACCAATCTGTAATCTCCTTTTAGATAAAAAAAATAAAAAAATTAAATCAGATTAGCACTGACGGAGTTAGAGGTAAGAAAGATAAAAAAAAAAAAACAAATACAACCAAATTGAGAAAATTCTTTTTTGAAGTGGGTTAATAAATAAAAGATTCTTTATTTCACAGTTTTCATTAAAAAATAAATTTCTTTTTATATATTATCATTGAAGAAATCCACAAAGGAAGTGACTCTTGCAAACGCAGCTGGAAAACCGACCTCGCAGCCGAAAGCTGAACCAAATGATGTTATACCAATCTGTTACAGAGAAATAAAACGTATTATAGTATCAAATCGTGTATGTCAGAAATTATTTTTCTCTTAATGAAACTCTATTATAATATCGATATAATATGTAGCTTGTGTAAAAATAAATTTTGAACCTTTCAATCGATCACGTGGCTCTTCGGTTTGTATACTAGTTTTTTTTTCAAGTGGTAAGTTAGTTAATTATGACTTAATGGCAGCTAAATTTCGGCTTATTAATCTTTCGCCTGTAGTTATATAAAATAATTTTCTTTTATTTGTTATAATTATGAAAAAGGTGAAAGTTTTTGTTAGGGTTCATAAAGGTCAGCATACACAGAATATAACGTTAGTCAACCATAATGTCGTTCACGTCTCCAGCTGGGGTCACAACTTTTTATCAGGTAGTCTTTACACTTTTATAGCGGTAGCAGGTAGAATTATTTATTTAAGTGGGTAAAATTCACTGTAATAAAATGACTAGATGCATTATATGGCGAACTTGTGAGAGTTCTTGCTTTTATTAGGGAACCTTATAAGAAGCTTTACGTACTTATACTCGTAATCTATTTTTTATTTTGAAGAAAAGGTACTAGGAAAGAAGAGTTTGCCCAATAATTTCCAATAGGGATTTTTATGATAGAAAAGTAAACTAGTAGATTGTCTATTTATGAACATAATGAATGTCTATTTAAAATAGTAATTTAAAGAATCATATTTATCAACAAAAATGAAAATTTTTGTACCTACTTCGATTTGTGTTATTATTTTATTCTTATTTCTATTTTCTGTATCTGAATGAGTAAAAATAAGCTAAATGTTGTCAAGTAGTAGATCACTAGGCAAAACCAATAGGGTGAATCACTCGTAAAATGAACTGCTAACTTTAAGTAAGAAGTCTATGATTAGGATACGAAAGTGAACTTTTAGATCCGACATTATGGTAAAAAAGTGAAGCTTCATTTTATATGTGGATTTAGCCACATATATGGTAAGTCCACTCGTCTTTATCTGTCCTGTGTGAGTGGTTTATATAACAGACAGCTCCACATAAAAAATAGAAAACTGATGGATGCAGGATTGTATTTTATGGTAAAATATTGGAAACACATTCCTTCATAACGATGAATGGATAGAAGTGATAATATGACTCAAGACAAAACGAAAATCTAAAAACGTAATAATATTATTTACCAGAATAGGTCTGCCGTTGCTATTGACGACTAGAGGACCACCTGAGTCGCCGCTGCAAGTGCTGCCAACAACGCCGCTAGTACAGATGTTACTTGACTGGACAATAACGGGGAATGCCACAAAGCAGACAGTATTTGTGATGACTTCCAGTTCGACGTAGCTCAAACTTTGTGTTTCAGCGATGTTGCCGTCTGTAAGTAAAGTAAAATATTATGAAAAGTGATTATTATGATTATTGCCGCAAATAACAATTGTATTATAATATAATGAAAAACAATTGAAACTATTCTTTTCCCTTATCATGGCGTGGACAAATTTTTTTTTATTTATGTAAATAAATCGAAGGTCATAACAATAGCTCCGGTCAAGTCTAGTGTGTCTATTATTGAATATTAGTCATATTTAGGTGGATAATAACAAAATTCAGAGCCAATGCTGTTACTGGCATGGATTACAAAAAACCTTCCTAATTATTACAGATTTAATACCTACATTAAATTTGTTTTTCTGTTTGTTATTTTATGTCTGTATATTAGTTAGGGCATCACGTAAAAACTTGTGCATTAAATTGGATGTGGTCTTCCCAGTTGTATTTTAGAAGGTCAAACTTAAAATCTGGTGACTGTATGCGGTTGCGCGGGACAAAATTAAAGATGTATTTATTACCAATAAAAACACTCACTATCTCTAGTTATACCAAATCCCGAAGCTATAGCAGTAACGCCTACAAAATTCTGGTTCAGTTCCGCTCCAGAAGGTAGAGCAATTGTGTTGATTGTGTCTGTAAAAATTAAAATGTATTCATATAATTAATGAATGTATTTATTTAATGTAAATACGAGTATATATACCAGAATGTCACCACTTTTCAGTCTTATGATGTAAATAAAGCGCTAACAGTAGTGCAAGAGAAGTAAAATACGAAATAAAAATTATAAGCGGGTTGGCAACTACATATGTTAGGCTAAAATCGTGTTTTTATGGTGAGAATGCTATATCTAGTTATTGGTCGTAACTAAGCTAGTAAGTTAAGGTGGTGATGATGAAAGTTACAAAACATAGTTATAGTTTTTACAGAAATAAACTGTAAAAATACAGACCTGAGAGTTCAACGCTAGTAGGCAAGTAAATAACACCAACGTCGTTTCGAATGAGAGAAGGGTTCCAGTCGGGGTGTGTAACCACTGTTTCGGACTCGATCCTGGTGCCTCCGCTGAAAAGTAGCACTGAGCCGAGCACAACTGTGACTCTCCATCCTTGGTGGATGCCGTCGAACCAGCAGTGAGCGGCGGTGATCACTCTGTTGGCTGACACAAGGGAGCCACCGCATACACCTCTGCCTGTGATCCCGACGATTTCAGTGATGAGACCGGCCTGGAAGGATGCAGGTATTTTTGTCAACATCACTGTTGAAACCATTATCTGAGCAAGTAATATAATATAATTATTATATTTATTTTATTATAATTATTTTACCAGAGGGAGACTTTGTACAAAAGTCGATTGCTTGGGTACCTCTGTCCCATTCGTGTTTCAACCGTAAAGCAGTTGTGTTTGCATGACTGTGTTTCAGTTTGAAGGGTGGGATATGGCGTAAATTTACTGGGTACAAAGGAATAACATCTGCGTCCTCAGGAATGGCAACGCATGAGGGGTATCATGGGCGAAACAGTATACTCTGTTATGTCCATGCTACTGCTCATGTCTATAGGCGACGGTTACCACTCACCATCAGCTTGTTTGCCATTCTAAGTTGTATAAAAAAAAATATAAAGAGAAAAAACTATTATATCGATATTAAAAAAAATCTTTCACATTTAGGAATTTACATTACTCGTGATTAACATGGGTTGTATTTTATTTTCAAAAAAATAATGCGAATAGCGGGTCGCTTGTTATTAATACAGTCAGATCAGAATACTAGACAAGCGAGTTCCCATTAACTTGGCTGTCATTTAATTTGTTATTTGAAATACCTTTTAATAATAATATACAGTTCTTTAATTATATCTCGTTAAAAAATATAAAATAATATTTAACTTGGAATCAATGATTTTTAAAAATTTATTACTCTTATAATATTATTGAGCATCATAGGATAAGCAAGCTGAATTGGCAATGGGTTGGTCGCATACCTTGAAGAATCAACAACCGATAAGGAAGGAAGATTCTTGAGTGGCGATCCGTACAGGCAAATGCAATGCAATGCGCTGGCGAGGCGCTAGTGAGAGATGATAGGTGACATTCATTCTCACAAGACAGGCCAATTAGCCCATCGTAATTAATACACCTGGAATCCAGCACGATAGTTTCCAGGGGGGACCACGTAGAGGTGGACTTGCCAGGGTATATTGCTAGCAATTTGACTGATACTTCGCACCACAAACAATCCCTCCCCCCTCCTGCTACTACTACTAGTACTAGATGGAGTGACGACCTCAAATGTATTACAGAGTCAGTAGATGCAGGTGGTCTTTGTTCAGCAGTGGACAGATAGCGGCTGATATAGTGATGATGATATTGAAGTGTTTTATCGATTGACCCTGGACGGATTAACGGAATATAATTGTGTGGATCACAATCAATTAAGCACTGGCGAAAATAGAATATGCCCGATATCATAATTGGATTGATAAATTTAAGACGTAATTGTTTATATTTTGTACAATTATTATTTTCAACATAAATTTTTAATTTTTATTCATTAAGTGATAGAGAATAATATTTTATCTATTACAACAGTAATATTTATCAAATGTATTGACCTAACTTCATTAGATAAAGAAGTGTTTATTTATTCGAAAAACCAACAGCTTACAATTTATAGCTTAACAACAATTTATCTATTAAAAAAGCCAATAAAAGGTTTTCACTGACTTAGTAATATAAATTTGTCGCGGCAGGAAAATTATAAAATTTAGAAGGTAATCAATAACTACTTTGCACTATAGCACATCATAACAATATTTACTAGATTTCAAATAATATTATAATGAGTAAAAACTATGAATGAGGGATGCGTGTGCGCGAACGCGTGCATGTGCGCGTTTGTGTGTGTGTATGTGTGCGTGCTTTCGAGCGTGTCTTTGGTAAGAGTGTGTATGTTTCAATTAAACACAAAATAAAATTTAATAAATATTTCAGCGAGTTATTTTTTATAAGTTTCTTATAAGTTTTTTATAAGTTAAAGAATATTTAAAGAGATCTACTTCTTTATGAAAACAGAACAATTTGTATTTAGTTCATAAATATTGTAATTTGGTATGAATATTATTCTTTTTTTATAAATTTAATTAAAGACTAGATATAATGTACAAACATTTTATAATTGTATATCTTTATAAAAATATCAAGCATGATATGAAATTGAATAAATCTATATAGTTGTAGTATAAAAATAATACATAATAATACTTATTTAACTAGATACCTTGTTAAGATATTGCAAATAATATAAGGTACATTATAACTTTCGTTACATACACATTACTTCATTGAACAATATGTGGTATTAAATAATGATTAACCCGTAAATATTCATAATAACATTATTATTACTAACTTGGTAAGGAATTTGCCCAGAAGCAGCAAGCGATCCATTAATGATTCTGGAGGGATGCTGTAGTATTGCCTCTTCAGCTTTACGGATCTTCTCCCCTAATGGAATCCCTACTTTCGTAAGGTATCCATAAGCATCAGGAATGCCACCTTCGATAGACTTAGCGAAAGTAACAGTGGCGACCGCCAACAGAGTCACTACAACCACTTTCATTTTGTAAATTTTCCCGAAATATTTAAAGTCGCAATGAGTAAAATTTATTTTATAGTGTAGACTACAGATAAAATATGCCAATAGATAAAATATATCTCTGATATAATTAATGTTGATAAATACAAATTTAGACTTGATTAAATTAATCTTCTGTAGTAATTACTTTTGGCAAGGAGTTGTTTATATTTTCGGGGTTCCATATGAAAACCAATATAATTTTATTCGTGTATTGTTCTTTACAACCTCAAATGCATTGCAGGAAGTCATTGGATGCAGGTAGCTCAGGACCGTTACTTATGGCAGTCTATGGGGGAGGATTATGTCCAGTAATGGACGGATAATGGCTGAAATGATGATAGTGAATGATGGTTTTTACCCTTGTACATTGTATAGTTTTCTTTCAGATTTTCGAAGGTTCAATGTAAGATATCACTTTATGAGATAAGTCCGCCATTGTATATTAAATCTTTTAATGTGTCCAATATAAATTATGTACAATAAAGATTTTTACAATACAATACGATGATTGTTCTTTATTTTTTTATCTAATATTAGTAGATTGAAAGAAAACGCTTAGCCGAAACCGATGTGTCTAGGGATATGAATATTTTTACGGGAATTTTGAAAAGTATGTAATTTTGTGTAAATGATATCGTGTGATTGACAATAAATTTCTAAGATCACAAGCGGTATCAAGTCTCTAAATATAATGTGCGACTTCGTTTTCCTTTATATCACTTGTATAATAGATTGTATTGTAAGAAATGCTTGATTTGTTCTGAGAAATCGTTTAGGTCACCTTTTATCATCGCACTGCTCTCCATCGACAAGGAATATATCCTCTCATTTTAGAATGTAAATGGTTTCGTGCAGTGCGGTTTCTGTAGAATATATTATTGGATGAGAATTCAGTACTAAGTATTTCAAAAAGTGTTGGTACCGGGATGAGTTAACAGTTAGTGTATCTATCAAGTTCCGTATTCAATTTGCATTGATATGGAGTGTTTTCCGCAGGTCCACAAGCTTATGAACGTTATAAGTACATACGTACTATTAAAAATATAAAATTAACGCAGAGTCATAAGTACGTAACGGAAACAAAATGATCTCGATAGATAATTGCTAAACTACTGGTATGTTTGATTATAATACATTTCATTGATATAGAAAGTGCGTCACTAGCTTAGCAAATTGATTTATTGGTTTAGACATCTATATCAGTAAGTCATTTTACAATGTCTGTTATATAAATATGTATATCTATGTGATAGACAATAAATTACGACTAATATTTTTTACTAAACAATAATGCGCATTGAAAAGTTATATTCTTTGTTTTACAGAATTTTTTTAAAAATTTAAGTTTTGAACAGTATTTATTATATCATCTTTATCAATGAATGAATGAATGAATTATTTATTGTATATATTGTGGTAGTTAAATTAAATTAATTAAGTTAAATTGATAGGTAAATAATATGTACATGTATAGGTAATGTGTAGAACACAGTTTACCTGAATTTAGAATTTTAAAATTGTAAAAAATTACGATATACCTACAATTACATTACATAAAAATTAAAATACGAACGATATATATAAATTTCCTTTCCTATGAGTTGTTATTAAAATATTCTTTCAGATTATAAAAATATTTCTCAATAAGCCACTCTTTTAACGTTTTGTCAAATTTTTTATTTTCCAAGCTTCTAATATACACGTGATTGCATATTCGTATGGCCACATAATACGCTCTTCTGCTACATAATATAAGACTTGGTCAAGGGTAAAAACAAACCGTGTCGCAACTTTAATATACGACTCTGAACCAGTGTTTAGATATAATAACATCAGTAGCTGGTATTACATTTGAACACGTAATAAATGAAATACCCAATGCTACTGTTAAAATTTCACGTTGTTAAATTTTTAATATGTAGAATATAAGGTTAATAATAGAAAATACAATAATAATAAGAGCAAACAATAAAAGATTCAAATTATAAATACTAAATTTTAATTACTATTTGTATCTTTAAAGCATCCCTGTTGTAATATGAACAATGATAACGGATATTATATTATAAAATCTGTGACAGGTACATTTTTTATAAGATCGATGCGTGATGTATATGTACGTAGGCGTGAGAAACGTGGGAATAGTTCTTTTATTTAAGATATACACAAATAGACTATTGGTGACAAAAAGCATTTGTAATACTGAGGAAAATGCAAATGTTGCTGATTTTTTATGAAGGTATATAATATACGGTTAATATTTTACGACTGGTGAACGATTAGTTTGTTTGTCATTTCCAGATATGTAACAAAGGATTGGATGCGTCGCTTGAACAATAATAATAAGGGTTACAATCAAAAAGAATATCTTTCGGTCATAGATTGACAAACTTTGGAGTAAAGTTTTGATTTTTATAATATAAGTATATATTGTAAACTCATGTATTATAGACGGAATAGATACTTTAAAATTAGTTTTAATTATTTTGTTAAATTAGATTTAAGTATAAACAAATTCGATACAGACAGGTACAGACTGTATTTGTAATTTGATATCTTATCAGAAAAATATAAATGATGATGCGTGGACTTAGATTTGTTTTTAAGACTTTAAACTTCCCCCCTCAGTCACAGTCTATTTAGATTAATAATTTCAATAGGTAAATATCAATTGAAAGAGTAAATTTCTTATTTAATTTTGGAAAATATTTATACAAATATACTATAAATCTAAGCACATACTCCAGAAGAATTACCAAAGTAAAAGAAAAAAACAGTTTTATTTTTAATTAACACACTAAAAAATTTCATTACAATCTATTAATGAATTTCGTTGCATACCTAAAAAAATATTTTTTAGTATACAATAAAAAAATTCGTTAGAAATTTCTAATACGGCAATTATGTAAATTAATACACAATTTTCCTTAGTATTTCTTTAAATGTAACCGAGGTTTTTAATTACAAAATAATTTACATTAGTTGTAAGAAGGTACACAATATTTTATTAAAATAAAAAAGTGAAATGTATTGAAATATCATTGACTCTACGAACTGCATTGCAATGTATAATATTTAACTTTTTTATTTTATATTAGGTAGTCTTTTATTTCTTTTCTAAAATAAAAGTATGTAATACTAGGTATAAAATTTAACGTCCCATTACTTTGGACCTTGATTTTATAATAATTACTAATTATGAAACCAAGGCCCGAAGTAATGAGACGTTAAAGTTTAAAATAACTAGGTTTGGACTTTGTTCTTTTTAAATCATATTTAGGGTTCGTTGTTCTTCTAAAATTTCTTAGCCGTCAATTAATTTTTTTATGGATTTTATAATAATTATCTACTGTCAATTATCTTGACAGATATGCGGATAACACAATTATTGATGTAACTTATCTGTAATGCGTTGGTTTCTCTTCAGGTACTACGTAATGTTCTAAATTAATATTTGTACCTACTTTTAATTAATATGTTGTAATTACTGGTTAATTGGTTTCTTTTAAATAATCTATTTAAAGTAAATGAAAAAGATTTATGCATATAAAAATATTTGTGAAAATTTTTATAATAATGATGATAATAATAAAATAAAGTTGTAGAATATTTTATTGTTAAAAGTTTCGTTAGCACATTATATTTTAATTTAATAATTTAATGATTAAGGGTCGCGAATTAATTCCGAAATAAGCCGAGCTTCTTCGATCTAAATTTGTAGAATATTTATTTGTAATATTTGCAAGTTTTTTTACAATGGTTATACATTTTAAATTCTACTAACTGTCCATAGTTAACACCGTAAACACAATATTATAGAAACTGCGCACTAAAAGATTCACATTATAATTGAATTATTAATTAATTATTATAAATAATATCTACCAAAGAGAAAATAATATCAGCAAATGTATGTCCATGGTATTGCTCACGTTTGTAGGTGACGGTTACCACTTTCCATCAAGTGTGCTATTAGTTTCCTTGCCGCTCTATATGTATATAAATAAAAAAAAAAAATTACAAGTAACAAATATTTACGATCACCTAAATCCTTATAAATCTTAAACCTACCTAATCTGATATTAGTCTTAAATATTATAAATATGAAAGTAAGTTTGTTTGTTATCTCTTGGCACCTTTAACGATCCAACCAATCAAACCTCGGACACAAAAACGAATTCGCGGGTAAAAACTATTATAGAAATACAATATAAAAACTGTGATTATTTAAATCACAAAAATTACGTAGTGGGTTTTTTATACTTAAGGATTTTATTAATAAACCGATAATGTTGGGTAATCCATTAGGCATATTTAGTCTGATTTAATATCATTTATAGAAGATTAGATATTAAAGTATTATAAGACGTCCTTAAACTTCATTAGACAAGTACAGTAGTAAAGTAGCACTATTATTAAGTAGGCTTATTGTTTTATTTAAAAAATCTGGGTCAATCGCGTGATTGCTAATAAATTCAGATAGTCTTTTTCCAAAATTTGAGAAGTTAGTTTTCAGTTTGTCTTTATTTATTTTATGCGTGACACGATATTTTTCTCATTTTTGAAGCGATTTTGCTATTACTTTTAAAAGCGATAGTTACTCTCGTGTTGGCCTCATATAATATTTGAATTTAAAATACGTATTTTTGTGTACTTAAATCTTAACTGATAAGGATTATCATTTATAGACTTTAAAGAATTGGTATATATAAATAAGCTAAAACCAATTTGGGAAAGATACTAACTAGTACCAATCGATTCAAATACTCATAATCATCATCTCTGCCATTATCTGTTCACTGCTGGACATAGGCCCCCCTCATACTATTCATATGAATATCATAAATTATGCCATCGCAAATTATGCCATACGTGACAACCAAATGGCACTTCTGAGAACATTCAAGTATGTTAAAATTTCTAGGTGAGCACACTGTAGAAACTAAAAAAACTAAACTGTAAAATGCACCTAGTTGATATAAATAAATTATTTATGATATAAATAATGTAAATATTTATATATTGTAAATGCGAAAGCTTGCAAACATGTTTATATGTTTGTTTGCTGAACATACGCCTATTATTCGTATGAATATAATAAATTATGACATACGTGACATGCAAATGGTACTTTTGAGAACCGTCAAGTAATTTCAAATTTCTAGGTGAGCACACTGTAGAACTACATGGAACTGTAAAATGCGCTTTGTTAATATAATTTTTTATTTTTTTATACAACTTAGAATGGCAAACAAGCTGACGGCCCACCTGATGGAAAGTGGTAACCGTCGCCTACAGACATGAGCAGTACCATGGACATAAAATATACTGTTCGCCCATGATACCCCCCATGCGTTGCCATTCCTGAGGACTCAGGTGTTATTCCTCTGTACCCAGTAAATTCACGCCATATCCCATCCTTCAAACCGAAACACAGTCATGCAAACACAACTGCTTTACGGTTGAAACACGAATGGTCTGTACCTCTGTAGGTACCCAAGCAATCGACTTTTGTACAAAGTCTTCCTCTGGTAATAATAATAAATTATTTATGATGATATAAATAATTTAAATATTTATATCATAAATACGAAAGCTTGTAAAGATATTTGTATGTTTGTTAATCAATCACGTTAAAATGAAATTTGGTACGAGGGTAGCCTAAGAGGAGTAAGTTTCTAACTTAACGCACAGGATACTTTACACCGATTCACGCAGGTAAAGTCATAGGAGGAGCTAATAAAAAGTAGTTTTTTGTCTGATAGCAACTAATGGTAATAATTTTCTAACCCTTCTATTCAAAACCACAGAATATAAACAAATCAAAAAACAAGATCGAACGAATCAACCGAATAGGTTTTCTTAAAAACATTAAGAGAGAAATAGTACCTACAATTAACATACCTGCTCAAGTGAGTAATACAATTTCCCCCGAATTTTAATAAAAAGTTACAAATAAGATAGGAAAGAGAAGAATTATTATTTATTTATTTAATTATCTTCAGTTGCCGATACAACGAGCACGTGAATACGTGGATAGGATGTAGTCTATGGTAAACACTTATAAAGTGAAACGGCATTTACTTGTTTATACTTTTGTGATAAGTGTCAATGACATATATATATATATATATATATATATATATATATATATATATATATATATATATATATATATATATATATATATATATATATATATATATATATATATATATATATATAAGGTATTATTAATTTAATTTACATAATATTCATTCTGTTTATAAAAGTCCATCAAATCATTAGACTATTATATTAGGCTTCATGTAGCGAAAGAAAAACTTTGTACCTTCTTTTTTAACAGTCGGGTAAAAAATAAGGCCATCTTAATAATAATTTATATTCTTTTATTTACATTATATATATTAATATTAGATGTAGTTCAGATGTGTTGGTTAATAAAATCGATGAAGGACGTAACTCGAGCGTAGGCGGCTGGGAGGTTGGCTTGGCAACCAAAAGCGGATCCGAAGGAAGTTACACCAATCTGTGGAGTTAATAACATATTTTTAATAAAGTCGACTTCAAATTGAGTAAGTATGGCTTAAAGATATAATCTAACATCTGATCGAATCATTAAAAATGCCAGCATTTTACGGGTCTCTCGTAATACCGACATATGTATATACAGTTTACTATCAGTCTACTGGGCAGAAAGTTTGATATAGTATTTTATTTCGAATATACCTTCTATTCCATTGTTTTGGTTTTTAGTTGTCTCTTATCACATATTGGGGATAAAAAAGGGTAGTGATAAAATATTCTTATGCTGGAACAGACATACAGTCAAAAATTTTCAATCTTAAAACACTTTTTATATAATACGATAAATATTTAAATATAAGTGATTCATTAAATTTGTCAGTTTCCATAGCTATATCCAAAATTAGTAAATTTTAATAGTAGATAGATTTTTTAAAACGATCTCATATGTAACAATAATGCATGACGTGGATACTGAATATGGGATTTATTGTAATAAGTATTATATATCTATGGGCAAAAGATTACCTCAATTTTTTTCAGTTATCCCTGATTTGACAGTTGTGATTCAAACTTTTTCATGCATATATTTGATGAGAATTAAATAACACAAAAACAAAAGTTAATATAGAAAAGAAAATACTAAGTACTAAAGCTTGACGCCTTTTACTCTGTTGTTATAGGTGCTAAAGAAATTAATAACAACAATATTTATAATACAGTTTAAATAAAATAATTTCATTGTTATTTTTTACACGGGTTCCATTTTGACTGTATTTAGCTATATTACCCAACATATTTTATTTGTCAGTCATTTGTAAATTGAAAGACTTTAACACGTTTTCATGTGAAAGTTCATTAAATTAGGACATATGTTTTATTATTTATTCTATGCATCATGAAAATATGCATTAACCCAATACATACCAAAATATTTCTATTATTCCTAACAAGAACCAGTGGACCGCCAGAGTCTCCATTGCATGTGCCAACGCCTCCGACCCCGCTAGTGCAAATGTTGCTGGGTTGGACGATTATAGGGAATGCATACGAACACACGGTGTTTGTTATCACGTTTAAGCTGACAAAGCTCAGGAACTGGTCATTGCTGATGCCACCACCTGGAACATTATCACACCATAACATTCCATTAAGTTTCCATTGTTTAGCCAAGAACGGGTTTCTTATAAAATTGTAGTATAAGCAGTATATCCTGGAGTAGCTAATGGTATGCTAACTAAATTTAAAATGTCTTAACAAAAAAGGTAAACTTGCGATAAACAGGTGTTCAACACGTGTTACAACAGAAATATGTCTAGCATTTGTTTGTCTAAACAAAAGGAAATCTTGTTAAAAATAAAAAGTGATTAAAGTAACACTAACTAAACATACTTAACAATACTTAAAAACTTAGAATTTTTTATTAACTATTCAATAAACAGTGTTGGTATAGTTCTCACCGCACACAACTCGAAGATATCTACGTCAATTTTAAACCGACTGTCCTCTTTCATTGGATTCATATATGTATTCAATTATTATTATGATAATTATATCATTGTCCCAGATTATTATAATTATTGTGTTACTTACCGTCACTAGTCAAACCAAAGCCAGATGCAATAGCTGAGGAGCCTGCGAAGTTTTCCCCGAGTTCCGACCCCGTAGGCAAGGAGGCAGGACTGATAGTCGCTATGTATAAAAATAAAAGAGTTCGTGAGATATATAGGTATATGTATACATAAGACTTCAACAGAATAGTTATAGACAATAAATTTTATGAAACTTCAAAAGTGTAAATCATATGAATATATAATCATTTGCATCTTTATAAGGAAATATTAGACTGATATTATTAATACTAGTGATGTTTTTTCCGAATAATAATAAAAAATTAGAGCTTTCCATATTAAAATGTTGCCACGTGGTGCCGTAATAGAATGGGCTACCCCTCTCTTTACCGTGGGTATTGTAAGAGGGGATTAAAGGAATTTGATGGTCGTGGGTAGACAGCAGTGTCTCTCTTAAAACGTCAACAAAGCCTAGTTGCGGTTTTCAGCCCGTCTGCCAAGCGTGGCAACTACTGGCAAAACTCCTCAAGGTGCCTCTCCTTATGTTTAGCAGTGGACAGTTAACGGCTGATGTAGATATTAACTACGTAATGACTAAATAATTAATGACTAATGTAGATATTAAGTTGATAGTAATATTCCTAGTATTAATATGGGAGGTTTAACTGATTTTAAAAAAGGTGGAAACATATAATACATAACTTGTGATTTTTTGTGTCATTTTTTAACTGTGAACCGATTTTAATATTAGACAATTATTTCAAGATTTTATGTATATATTAATTCGATTTTATTTTAAATAAAATGTAAAGAATTTGATAAGTTTGGGTTAGACATAGATGCGTTATACATACATGATATTGCGACGTTCGAAGGTAGGTAAATGACAGAGATATCATTTCGAACCAGCTGAGGGGTGTAGGAGGGATGGTTGACAACGGAACTGGTCTCAATTCTGGTACCGCCACTGAACAGCAAAACGGAGCCAAGTATTACAGTGAACCTCCAAGCTTGGTTGATGCCGTCAAACCAGCAATGAGCTGCAGTCAGTACTCGATTGTCAGAAATGAGGGTACCACCGCAGACTCCTCTGCCCGATATGCCAATGATGTCGCTGATGAGACCAGCCTGTATGAGGAAACATTAATTCAATTACGTTGGCATCTTAAGGCTGTTAATAATACTATAGTATATATTATAGGTTAATAAAGTACTGTACAATACTATAATTTGTCAGTATGTACTTTAAAACGAATCAAATTTATTCTTAAATATTGGGTTTCTAATAGTTTTTTTTATTATTAGGTAGGTAACTATGTCTTAAGTCGAGTTCAGTTCTTTTCGTTAAGGGATAAATGTAAAAATAAAATACTTATGACAAACTTGTAAGTTAAACAATTTACCTGTAACCTTCAAAAATATACTTATCAATAAGTAGTTTAATCTAAACTAATATAATTAAATTATTATTTCATATATTGTTGACATTTTAATATGGTTTATAAAAAGAAATCACTAGTGTCTTCTACAGCTTTTTTTTAATGGGTGAAAATAGCATGGTAATCCCGCCTGCGTCATCAGTGAGGATGAAAAGGCAGGTTTGTTAGCTCATCTTCCACTTGTACAATGGACTGTGCTCAGAGGAATTGTTCAATATGACCACCCACCGCCATTTTCTATCATCGTACAGCTCGTCATCTACAGGTAGTTCATCCTTATACGCTATAGCTTAGATGGTCGTGTAGAGGGCGAACCGCGTATAACGCGGTTTCAGAGATGCTTCCACGAACACTCAGGTTATGGAAAGAGCTCCCTGTCAAAATTTACCCAAGAGACTACAGCACGGGGTTCTTTAAAAGGGGGATAAAGAGATATCTTCAGGGTCAGCAACGCGCGCATAATACCCCTGTTATTGCAGGCGTACATAGGCTACGGTAATCACTTACTATTAGGTGAGCCGTATGCTTGTTTGCGACCTCAGTTGTATAAAAAAATTCACTATTTGTAATAAATAAATTTGTGATAATGAAATTGTATGTTATAATAATTATGAAACCTGGTATGGGAATTGTCCAACGCCAGCGGGTACACCACCGACTATTCTAGAAGGATTCTTCAGGTATTCTTCTTCAGCTTTACGAATCCTCTCGGCTTCTGGTATTCCATATTTCGTGAGATATCCATAGACAGTATAGTTGTTGGGAACTGATAGTCCAATGTTTTTGGCGTTGCTAAGGGCAATAAACGCCAAGAGTGTTATTAGAATCAACTTCATTTTAACAACGTAATTAGAACTAGAAATGCTATAAAGTGAATTCATTCTGCTTTATATAATTTTGTGTAGGGAGATAATGTCTTCATTAATATAGATAAGTACTTTGATTTGATAATTATAATTATCTTATAATATGTTTCAATGATAGTTTTTTTGGATTTTGTAACTATTTATTAAAAAGGTAACTGGATGGCGATTAATTTAATAGTTAAATTATGTATAGATTTTATGAGGAGCGTTTATGAATTACGATCTTCACCTATATTTTCAATTGTGCTGTTATGTTTAGGTTTGAAGAATAATATTAACAAAAGATATATAACATTTTACCTCAGGAATTAACAATTAATGATGTATGCAATGGATAATATAGTACATAGTGTTATATTTGTGATATTTTTCGCAATTATAGGGGACGCATACCAATTTTTGATTAACTGGGTTGTTTTATTTTAAGCTGTTTTTCGTATTCTGATGCTAAAGTTCGATGACCTTCTTACCTGTAATATTATATTGTATCTGCCTTCTGTATTTTTGGGTGTAGGTATGTACTGTTTAAACGACTTTTGAGGATTTGTCGACGTATCCGTGTGTTTGTTTTAATTATTCAGTGGACAATAAACTCACTTCCTTTCCTATTTGAATAGTATTCAGAATGTAATAATATATAAGTATGCAATTTTCTTTAATGTATTATAATTTCTTTTAATATATATCATGTAAGTGATAAGAAAGACGATAGACTAGATTTACACTATCAATTTAGATGTAGAGATTCGTTATCGTATTACGTTTATAATGAATGGAATATTGAGTATTTCATGTGACGTCCCTTGACAGAATTGTCGTGTCGTCGCAACAAAGGGATTTGATTGGCTGTCCGTAGGTAGAGTCTGCTCGCCACTGTTCAGATTTGGGCTAGAATGTAGCGTCCAGTATCTAAACATGTCTACCTCATGTGATATACGAAGGCACCTACATATACTCTTTGTATAATGTTGTAAATATAATATGCATGTGTATGGATTGATTATTGGCCTTTAATCTATTTGTCATAGTAAAAATACTAATTTGCTTTACAATTGTGTGGTTAATTCGAACACATTAAAGTTATAATAAGCAAGGAAGATATTAGGTTTTTATTGTGATCAGAAAATAAATGAAAATATGTAATTTTGTTGGTTGTTTTAGGAATATAGTATAGGATGAATAGTCAATGCTGTTCTGAGAATTTATATGTCATACATCTTTATATCCTGTAATTTTACTGTATTATTACATATAACTCCTTTAAACTGAAGCATAGTCATGCAAGTAGATACATCTGTTTGTTGTGCTGGTAGAATAATGAGTGAGATTACAGAGTTCTATGGCACTGAAATATTGTATAGCTTTTTCAATAACAGGAACAACCCAGTTTCATTCTACGAGATAAAACTTCGTTAGCAAAGCAATACAAGATATAAAATAAACTAACAATCCTGCTGTTTACGGATATCCACAGACATAATCAAATCAAGTTGCTCCCAAGAAAATCGAAGCTAAGCACCTATTTATATTTCAAGATAGCGAGTCTGGCAATTTAATAAGTACAATATTAATATTGCCGGGGGAAGGTTGTTGGGCTGTTCACAAAGTCTGTCTCAGTCGCACTTTTGAAATTGCATATTGTTTCATCTCTATTTTAGCAACCGAAGTATGGGCCGCATGTTACTGACGTTTAATAAACTTGCACGCCCGATTATATAGTTTACGGGATACGTTTTGAAGGGTTGTTTCCATCTATCGAGATTCTCTATTATTGAAAAATCAGTATAAAATGGCTGACGTACATTTGATTTTCAATCGATTTCAAAAAAACTCGGTTACAAACCGATTTGGGACGTTTTTATTTTACTGAAAGGATATACTTTCAGATTGGTCACATAAAATGTTTTATTAAAATCAGTTCAATAGTTTAGATTTTAAATTAAACAATATATTTTTTTTATGGAATACAATCTTCATTTTTATACATTATATTGTGCAGTTGAAAATCGGTAACGTTCAATGAAAAATGCAATAGTTTATTACATTTTATTCAGAGGTAGAATTTTGATGTCACTCGTGTTTCTGCTGTCAACTCGTATAACTGTATTTCGGATAGAAGGATATTGGAAGTGAAATTACTAGATACAGAGGCATAACACTTGATTTCTGAGGAATAATACCTAACATAGGGGCGGGAGGGGGCATATTATTTGTGTAACAATTATCATACGCAGTGACAAACAAGCTGCTTCTTAAAATTACTAAGCAAAGTAAAAAAAAGATTTTTATATGTAAAATTTGTTGTCGTTTTTTATGTTAATAACCAGGAAACCCACAGATAGCTACAACTATAATATACCATTCCTTGAACTTATATACTTAAATTTTAATTCGATAATTCAGGATTTTTTTTATAAATTCTAAGAATGGAAATAATGTGAAACCTATCACGTTAAACGACATAATAACATTGTCCAGTATATCTATTGGTGTCTGGCCAGATTTAACATATGTAGATAGATACAATAACAAAACATATTTAATGGATATAACAGTACCGTTGGACTATAATATAGGAGCCAAGGGGATTGAAAAGTTAAGCAAATGGTATTTGCTCTGAATAAAGAAGTTGGTCCTCTGTGGAATACACAAACGATTATCATCTTGATAGTAATAGGTGCAACGGGAATAGTAGATATAGATTTTAAAAAATACATAAATAAGCTAAATACTAACATTAACGTCACCATCTTATAAAAAACACGACAACCATATTCAACTAAATATTTTTTTTTATACAACTTAGAATGGCAAACAAGCTGACGGCCCACTTGATGTAAAGTGGTAACCGTCGCCTATAGACACGAGCAGTACCATGGACATAACAAAGTATACTGTTTCGCCCATGATACCCCCCATGCGTTGCCATTCCTGAGGACTCAGGTGTTATGCCTCTGTACCCAGTAAATTCACGCCATATCCCACCCTTCAAACCGAAACACAGCCATGCAACAACTGCTTCACGGTTGAAACACGAATGGGACAGAGGTACCCAAGTAATCGACTTTTGTACAAAGTCTCCCTCTGGTAAAGGTTAGGAGATCGACCGTATTTGTACACAATCATCAACCACATAAGAGACAACTAACACATAACATTGAATAAATATACCAGAATCATCCAAGATAATTATTTATACACCGTACATACAACCATTCACAAATTCAGTATACACTCAATAAAGAAGGAGGATATTAAAGAAAAAGAAAATTATCAACAGGGACATATGCGCCATTTTCCTGTGGGCTACGTGACTAACTAACTTAATAATATTATAATAACTAACCTAACTTAATAAAGATAATATATCAAACAGTCACGTGGTCGTTAATTGAGTACCTACTAAATTTAAAAAAAGTATTCATACACATCATAATACTTCATGAAACTTCATGTATATTTTTTATAGATTAATCTATTTTCATTTAACAATAAAATGTATGTAATCCGTTTCATTTATGCAATATATATGGGTTCAGAATTTTTTCATCTATGAGTGAAAAATTCATATCATGCGGAGCTAACAAGGTTTAGTGCGAATGCTAAAACCCGGCGGCAATTATCACGCTAATTAAATTTACGCTGATATTACTAATTTATTCGATATACGCGATTCGTCACCGGTAAAAGTTTAAAAATTCACGAAAGTTTCCTGAAGCGATTCATCTCTGAATGTTCGTTTATATAAATACTTAAAATTTCACTTATAAAAATAAATACCTTAGATGAAAAATTTCTTCCTTGGATCAAGGATCTGTTGAAACTATAATATTTAAGATTTAATAATTATGTCAATGGGTCTTTTTAATTATGTTTTCATAAAGTATTTTGCAAGTGTGAAATTTTATAAAGTAACAATTTTTGAGTGCCAAGAATTTCATTATTAACATTATTTCAATGCTGTAATCATATTTAAAAAGTGTTTGGTTAAATTTATGCGAATTATTTATAAAAAATTTCATTTAAACGGATATTTTTAAGTAGTGGAAATTTACCGAATTACATATTTGTAATAATAAAATTGTTTGTATTTTACGAAATTGAACCGTTGTTAAGTCTATCAGGACCGATTCATCTATCGATCACCTATGGTCCTTAAGACCATTAATATATTATTTTACTAAAAAAATATTAATATATAAAAATAAATTTTAGTTTTGAAAGCCTTCTTATACCGTAGGGTGGCCAACGAGTGCCATTTCTAATTGGCGTCGCTGTTCGGCGGCGTCGGTCCGTGCGGCGCGCGAGCTGATTTCACTCCCGTGACGTCAGTGGTGCTAACGAATGCGTTCACTAGTGTTTTGTTTACGTGCTCTGAGCGTGTAACGTGGTTAAATATTGCTATAAAAAACAGGACATGAAATATTTTAAACGGTATGTAATCTACGGCTTCGTCTGCGTGTATTAGATAACATGGCTGATATCAAATTTCATTTAAATCGTTTCAGCTTCTCAATTGTTATCTAAATTAATATTATAAACATGAAAGATTTGTTTTTTTTTTGTTTATGATGAATAATCTAGAAAAATATCCATACTATTTAAAAAAAAATTCACCTATAGAAAGCTACATGATCTGTGAGTAATATGTATGTTATCAAAAATTTTGTTGCATGTTATTAAAAAAAAAAACTGTGCGCGACATACCTTTTTAGTTTCTTTTGTTAATTTTATTAAAAAGAAGTTTTTGTTTGTAATTTCAAGTCTGTGTTAGTTTGGTTTTGATTTCGTTCGCTTTTTATTTTCTCCCTTGGTTTTGCTTTGTATATTTTTCTACAATTATATTATCTTTTTAAAAACACCGTGTTTCTATACCAGCATACAGTCCTTTCCCTAGTCCCTCAAAGACTATCTAGTTATTATACATGATCAACTAGTATTTTATTTACCTATCATCACATCATCATTCACTGTTCATCTCAAAGTCAGAC